AAAACAAACAAAAAAAAACAAAAAACAAAACAAAAAAAAAAGAATGGAAAAGAGCGCCCTCTACACAATATGGAGATATAAGGTGCCAACATTCAAGCTATAACAAAATTAATACAAGAGTGACTTTTGATTGTTATTAATACTATAACATACTGCCATTTAATGAAAGTATCCCTGAACACAATGTCTCTGTGTTGTGGTGATTGCCTAAATTTTAACCTTACGGCCAGTATTTCTTCAAATGTCACTGTCTTTTGGTTAAATTAAGATTTAAGTACAATCCTCTTCATCTCTACCAGTGCACCTCACGTAGATAAAGTTAAGACTTCTCCATCAAACTTTGGAAAAGTTGTGTTAGGGGCCATAAAATTTGAAGAAAAAGTCTTCTCCAAGATACCTCAAACTTGGATTCTGCTGTGGCTTACCTTTCACTTTACAGCTATAGAACATGCTTTATGCTTGTTCCATGCTTAACAGAAATTATTACAAAAGCTTGCATCATGCTCAATAATCATAAATGGATATATTTCACATATACATGCCCACAACATTCAGTTATTTGATTATTATTTGATTATTCCAAAAACAACCAGAAAATATACATCATCATTTAATGATGTTTCATCTTACAATAGAGCCTTCTCAAGTCTTCTGATATTCTCCCATAATACATTCAGGTCACTAGTGCTAAAAATCTATAATGAAACATTCTTACGTTACCTCCACATTTCTTTACGCTTATAAAAATCCATATTAACGATTCTACATCATTAATTTTGTTCAAAAACACCTTTTACAAGACTTGGATTAGAGCTTTACCTTTCACAGTTGGTGTTCCATCCGGAAGTGGGACACTCTCAACAAGAACAGCAGCCTTTGCCTTTTCAGGAACCTCCTGCTCTTTGGAATCTGTTTCAGCATATGGTGGTGATGACATAACTAAACTGCAGACTGTCCTCCTCAACCAGACAGTTCAATTATTTCCTTCAGGATCATGTAAATGATATAGAGATGATATAGTGGTCTGAATAGTGAGATACAGACACATGTTTGTCCTTTGATAATTATTTATTCACAGACAATTTAGTAACACTGTTCCACATACATGGATTACAGAATCAACTGAGATTGGAGCACTGAGCTGGTAAGGATAAGGATTGATAAGGATGATGACTGTCATGGTTTATTTGGTGGTACTATTCCAACCGCAGCCTCAAAAATGGCAAAAATCACAACAAAGAATGTCAGAGAAACAAGAAACCAGGCTGCGATTAGAGTCGTGTACAAGTCTAATTTTACCATTAAAATCAAACCGCTGATTATTGACTGTCGTATACTTGGGGTAGCTTTACAAAACGGTTCAGACACATACCTGTACTTGTAATACAATTAATAACAGTTCTAATTTTACTGAGCTAATAAATGTGCATCACATTTTATTGCCGACTGAGCACGTTAACTTGTTCCTTGAATAAATCGTCAGTTCACCTCTAAGCACCAATTCATAAAATCAACCCACGTACAGAACCACTCACAATAACTTGGGTCGAAAATACAAATAACAGAACGATCTGACCTTGCATTTTAACCAGAACAATACTTCACAATCTAATGATTATATATTACATCCTGGTTACATTTTTACATAAAGAAAAATAAACATACACATAAAACACGAACAATCTCCATTTTTAAAATTGTACAGCATAGCCAACATACATGAATTGTCGATATTGAAAAGAAAATATCCTTCCAGGGACCCACAATTTTCTTTCACAGATTCTGACTACTCCTCGATAGCTGTGTTACCGTGTTATTATAATACCGATCGCTTGAGATGTACACGCGACGTTACTACAGCTGCATAGACGTTTCGCGCCCTCGCGAAAGCAGTATTTGTCTGCGCCATTTAGACGGTATTACCCTCGCGCTGCGCTGGTATGACTGGTACCGGTTGCGCCGACTGCTACACGGACTGACATGGCGCCTTTGTCGTGCGACCTATGCGCTTTCCTGCGGCCGGTGCTGGAAGTATGATCACAGTTATGCGCTTGAAGGCGACATCTACCACCTTTCCTGAGAACGCCTATGTGACTATAAGATAATAGATGTCAGAACTGCAGTGAAATTTCCATCCACAGATCCGTCATGTGATTAATGTGGGAAACTGCGCGCGTGCTCGTGTTATATGATAATACGGATAATACGTGTTCGAACGTGCTGTAGTGACGTGTTGTTGTGTAGAGATGCGGAAGCTTCGCGAACTTCGCGAAGGAGGTGGAGAATTTAAGAATTGCTGATGCTGACCTTCTTTAAGATTAATGATTTTGAGGCTGAAAAACTATTTTTTTTTCATTTATCAGTACTCAATATTTGAGATGTGAGTTTCTGTACTTGAGATGTTTATGTGTTCATTGTGGTTGGAAAAGTTAAAAGATGTTGTATTCACACAGTATTAAACGTAGATTGTTTTGAACATATGTCGTATTCCGATTATATCTAGACGAAAATTGTAATGTGTTGCGGTTAACACGTTTGCCTTCTATGCAGAGGGTTCTGTGTTTGAAACTTATTGGTAGGAAATTCGAAACTTCTATTATGTGCTTATTTATAATTTATTTTCTTAAGAAACCTCCAAGAAAAAGCAGATCTGAAGATCTCAGTTCTCTGCCCAGCCCAACATGGTCATTCACAAAGTGTGTGATGGGAGGGTTCTTCCTCATATTCACATTTCCTGTACATTTCACTTTGTGAAAGGTCTAGAATATGTGTCAGCTGAGTGTACAGAGTTCAGTCAGTAACCATGTTACTAGCTACAATGTTTCCTGTCCAAGGCCCTTACAGCATCAAAGGATTCAGCCGCCGAGTCCTCCAGTGCAAGGTGAAAGGTCCAAGGTCCAAGGACGTTTTTAAAGAGGTCCCTGGATATGTCTTGTCCAATATCTAGTAGAGGCAGGAGATTACTGAAAATCTTAAGGGACCATTAAAGTAGCCCCTTCCAGTGATTGTAGTTGGGGAAATACTGTAACCCACTTATAGAGCCCTACAGGCAAAGAGGAAGGGTAAACAATGGGAGGTCACTTTGTATCCCTAGGGAACTATTCACTATTTCAGTTCTTCATTGTCATGCAGGCTTTGTCATTGTAGCTTTCACCTCACCTTATAGCATCAGCGCCAGACTGGCCTGCTGATTTCAGGGACGATCACTATGAAGTAGTGGTGTGCCTTGGTTCTCCCTAATGTGACACAAAACATAGCAGATGTATGGGATGTGCCAAAGGGGAGTTTCACAAAGATGGTGGAGGGTTGAGGAAGATTAAATTGATTCTTGTTTTTGTCAGCTTTCAGTAAATTAGGCCTGATTACAATTAGGAATGGATTTGCCTAATATAATATATGTTGGTTCATAAGGAGGGAATATCACTAAAATGCTATTACAGTACTGTACTCTGCAGTTTATATTTTTTTATTCCTGAATGGTAATTTCCTCTTAGCATTGGCTGTACCAAAGACACTATATAATTTGTGCCCTAGGGCTGTTCAGTTGAAGACACAGTAGGGGGCACATTATTTTTGCCAGTGGTGTCTCCCCTTTGGATTCTCATTCAATAAAATTGTACCCCAAAGTGGCAGTAGCCTGTCAATAATCCTGCCATGTGACTCATCTGTATTCTGCTCAATTATATAATCCATGTGCAATATCTTCATGAAACTCCCTTTTTAGGTTCAGATTGTGTTGTTTTAGTTCTGACCTGCAGCGTTCAGAGTGACAGAAGATGAACAGTTTACAACGAGGAAGGGGACGTGGTAGTAATCCATGGAACCAGGGTGGAGGAAGAGATGGTCATAATCAGAATCGTGCTGTCAAAAAGAAGCCTAGTGCAGAATTTCTGGCGCAAACCAAATTCCAGGAAGCACAAGCCCGATTACAGGCATCTGTTCAGAAACACATCAAACAGGAGTATGATTCTTCATCTGAAGAGGAAGAACTAGAAAGTGACAGCATTCTTGGTGAGAGGCTTTTCAGTATTGTTGGATTTGTCATACATAAGATAATTCATGAGAAGCATTGGATTCTTGTACACTAAGCGCTAAAAAAAATACACATATCTGTGCTCTAAAACTCAGAGCAAAATTATGTTATTAAATGATATGTATTCACATAGTGCAGATATAGTAAACTGCTGGTTATCCAGTATCGAAGCATCTGGAATTCTCATGCAACTGGTAGACATTGAAAGAAATTCATCATTTTGTAAATTTAAATAAAAAGAGACAAAGTTGTAACACGTATGTTCACCCACCATGTGGTAGTTCTCTTATCCACCACTAGCAGCGCTGCCCATCGTCATCCCTCACACAGCTGCCATTACAGTCATAGTTATGTGTGATTACAGTAGAGGTTAGTTTAATTCGTAATAACAATTCAGTATATCCAAAATGTCACCCATCTGTCTACTATGCCCCGTAAGAAGACTCCTGCACAAAACCTAAAGCAAAACCATGGGGTTTTGACTTTGAAACATATTGTGGGGATTTGTCGTTACTCCAATGACAACCCACTTCTTCGGAAAGTTTGTAGGTCCTGAAAAGACTGCTGGCTGCTGGGATCTTTGGCCGGTGAAGTAGTGCGGCGCGCGCCGGTAGAAATGAGATGTTGGTTGCGGTGTGTTGATTAATGTTGCGGCAGCTGAGTGAGTTGACTGGCCGCAGTGCGGCAGTTTCCGGGAGTTGCCTGGTTGCTGGAAAACATTTGCTTGCGGAGCGTGGTTGCAGGAGTGGAGAGGTGGTAGCTACGCCAGTTGCCCAGTGAGTCGGGCATGACCACCGGCGAGTCCAGGCAGCCGAGTTGCCCAGTGAGTCGGGTGTGACCGCCAGACAGCCGAGGCAGTCGTGCCTGGCGCAGCGAAGTGCCGGTGCCTCCGAAGACAGAGCGCTGGTGACGAAGTGTGCTGTTTGCTTGTAGACTGATTGTAGACTGATTGTAGACTGATTGTGCCAGGTTGGAGCTGCTCCTCTTTATACCAAGCTCGGTGGGCGGAGCGAAACTTGCCTTTGAGGAGCAACAGTTTGCAGAGCGCTGATTGGCTAGCAAAAATGAGGAGCGGAAATTTGCAGTGCGTGCTATGTGGATGTCCCCACAATATGAAAAGACTGGAAAATTATGAAAATCCATGGAAATTGGGTTCTGTAAGAGCTTTCCTCAAACAACAAGGAGATTCATGTAATTGGCATAACCCATTTCCCATATACATGCTGGGTGACTGAGGGTTCACTGTGCAAAGCTGCTAATGAGCTTTCCCTAGATTATCATCTCCACTCTCCTCCTGGCTGTAATTTGCCTTGCACTATATCTTTTCTTTTTGTTGGTTTTGTACTTTCTGTTAGTACATCTCACCCAAGAGAGGGGTCTTGACATATACCTGCATTCTAGTTGATATCATGATCTGTTCTTAGGTTCTTGTCTTCACTCGCTTCTTGGCTGTAATTCACAATATGTCACAGTTTCATTGTTTATTTTGTGGTGGTTCATTGCTGTACCTATCAGTTTGAATGTGCCCTAATGCCTTAAATATTCAAATAAATGGACTTTATAATGAAGTTGTATGTTTTGTTAAAAGCTATGCTACTGCTGAAGTCTGTTGCCTGCAAAGAAAGAAACTAAATAAGCATTTGCGCAAAACTGTGATGTCCATGCATGACTATTCCTACTGGCTGTTCTACTTACATAAAATTATTTGTGCTTAAGAACTATGCCATGAAAAATGCTTTACTGTTGGAAAAGGGTATGAATGGACCCTGGAGTCAGTCTGGATTTACTGGGGAAGACAAAAATCCTTGCTGTTCTATGGAACGAACCATCATATAGCCAGTCGTTGAAACCGTTACTCATTATATTACAAAATAGGGATGTGAAAATATGTGAGACAAAAATTATTCTGTTAATTACTGAATTGTCTTAACAGCCACTGTTGTTGAGCAGAACCTGTTCCTTCAGGAAACATGAAATTATAGTCCAGAGTTAATTTGATGGATCTCTGCTGTGTCAGATTACTTAGTACATAAGTATGTATTTCCAGGATCTGTACTGCAGCTGTATTCACAAGTTGGAGGGAGGAGTGAAGATTTAGGAAGAACCCAACGTTTTTTGGAAGACGTGTTTCAGTCTGGTGCTGCTTCTTGCCTTATTTGTATAGGATCTGTTAAAAGGAATGATGCGGTGAGAGAAATTATTTTTGTTGCCCTTATTGAAGATATTTGTATGGGAGGGTGTGGGGATTAGTGATGTATTTAAATGTGAACTGAATAAAACCTTATACTGAAAGATGTTAAAAGTTGGGATAACTGATGTAATAACTGATTGGTACCTAAAAGAAGGAAACCATTAATTAGGATTCCACTATACTGTGAACTTAAATGTGGTTTAACAGTGGTATTGTCTACCCTATAGTGTTACCATTATGTAAGTGGGTGTTCAGTCATGGATTTTAGGAGATGTTTACCTGTATATATAGATGTGTATTGTGTATATCATATTTTGAGTATCAGTGTTATTTTCAGTTCTATTTTCTCGTTTTTTATTGTCAAGGAGTGAGTAGATTGAAACATTTTCTTGCTTGTGTGGGTTAGGCAACTTAATACTTTTTCAGCATCTTTTTATCTCCTCATTGTTTGCTTTGCCCTGCTCCTGTCATTACACTGTATTCTTGTTTCATCATCTGTAATTTCCTATTTCTGGTTAGCTTTATTTCTAGTTGTGAGATGTATAAATAATTGACAGTATGGCAGCTCAGTGTACTAGTAAAAGAAAACCCTTCATGTTAGAATGGAATTTTTAAAATGTTTCTGGAGCATGTATTTAGATTATTTTTTTTCCTATGACAGATATGGAGTTGTGTTGAATGTTACTGCTTTTTCCACCTTGCCTGCATCCAGCGTTGGGCGAAGGATAGTGTGGCACATCAGAAACAAGCTCTTGAGGATCAGCCGCAAGGAATTGTAGTTACCAGGTTTAAATGGGCTTGGTGAGATTTACCAGTTGTTTCATTCTCTATTGACTGTATAGAGTATAATTGAAAGATTTTGGTGTGAACTAATATTTTGGTCCCAAAGGAATCATTTGGCAGAACTTAAATATGTTTATTTGTCCCCTAAAGCAGATATATCTTTAGTGTGGCTGGTGTACACAGCAAGAATAAAGGAATAAAACTGTGCACTTCATGTACTTATCCTATTCACTTTTAAAATGTTCTCTTCAAGTTAGAGGCAGTTTGAGACTTTTCATGATGACGACTGTTCATCACATCACATTCTGAGTATAGCATGATGTTGAGAAATTCAATAAACCAGTAACATACCACTGCTTATTAAAAACCTGACACACTGGGCATCCCACCATGACCCTGAAGCACAATGTCACAGGTTCCTCTGAAATGCTAGTAGTATTTTATTGCTTTTGTTTTCATATTTGTAATTGTATTCCTTGACACAGTGCTATACCCAGAAGATGATGCAAATATTGTAAATTCCTGTTTTCATACGTGTATATAAATTGTAATGTGTAATGGACTTTGTAACTTGGAACACAAATGAATGTATTTAGAAGTGCCATCACACTGTATATTTGACTTTTCTGTAGGGATTTAAGGTCTAACTAACTCCATGGAGCTGAGCCCTTCTTGAGAAGCTGCTAGTTGTGCAGCTACTCATGAATTTCCCAATATTTTATGGACTCCAGAAGTTCATTGCTGTGTTCATAAGAGTCCTCCAGTGGTCCCTATCCTGAGACAGATCAGTCCAGTCCATACCACCCCATCCTGTCTCTTCAATCCATTTTAATCTTAACCACCCACCTACATCTTGATCTTCCTAGTGGTCTGTTTCCTTCTGGCTTTCCCACCAATATCCTATATGCATTCATCTTCTCCCCCATTTCGTGCTACATGCCTTGCCCATTTCATCCTCCTTGACGTGATCATTCTAATTATACTTGGACGAAAGTACAAATTATGAAGCTCCTCATTGTGTAGTTTTCTCCAACCTTCGATTACTTCATCTCTTTTCAGTTCCGAATATTCTCAATATCCTGTTCTCAAACACCCTTAGTCTATTATCCACCCTTAATGTTGGAGACTAAGTTTCACACCTACACAAAACCACAGACAAAATTATAGTTCTCTGTATTCTAATTTTTGCTTGACTTAAGGTATACATACCATATTGCTTCGAATATAAGATGCATCCAGTTTTTGAATGTGGGTTTTAGGAAAAAAATTAGAAAGGTGCACATTTCTTGAATTTAAGATGCACCTCAATTTTTCCAGAAGAAAAATATGTGTAAAATACATTTGAAATAGTATGGTATTTGTTTTTCATACAATTTTGATTTTATAAATAGAGATGGCATCAATCATTTCATCAAATAGAACAGTTCTACAGTTTGATTAATTCTGCATTATATGGGTTGTTTAAAAATGGTATTTATAAAGTCATATTGTTCATCTGTTATAATTCAAATGACATTGTTCTTCTAGTCCTAAGTGTCGCCATGATTATGAGCAGACTGACACTCCCCAAAGGTATTGCTGTTTTTGTGGTCGTACAGAAGATCCACCATTTCACCCATGGTTGACACCACATTCTTGTGGGGAAAGATGTGAAAAGGCACTCCAACCTATCTGTGGGCATAACTGCTTACTTCTGTGTCACCCAGGTAAGCATGTTAATTCTACAAATATTAGTAGATATTGAAGAAAGTCGTCTTCTGGGTTTAGGCACCGTGTATTCTTCGTTTTGGCCGACGTTTCGGAGGAACGTAGTGCCTCCATCTTCAGAGCAGTTGAATGGCTTGGAATGCGGAGAGCAGTAGCTGTGGTGATAGGATGTGAAAGGTGCTGCTCCGAAACGTCGGCCAAAACGAAGAATACACGGTGCCTAAACCCAGAAGATGACTTTCTTCATTGTCATCGCCGTGAAAACCTCAAAACTTACATTAGTAGATATTGTTTTCTTTCTTATCACAGTGGTTGAAATCCCATGATTTTAATTGAAATGAACTGAAGAAATTCTAGAGACCACTTATACATGTAGGTTTTATATTGATTTTTTTCCTCATGATTTGTCATAGAAATAGTTTTAACTTAAGTTTATACTAAGTCACACATTTAGAGCAACAAAAGAGAAGGTGGTCCAGTTTGTATCTTTTTATCCGTACTAGCTTCCTTCTTGTTTTGGTGACTTGTATGAGTTTTGATTATGTCACTTTTTGAGTTTATGTTCTATTAACTGACACATAAAAGTAGTCCCTGTGCTTGCTTAAGCACCATGCCATGGAGGCTTAGAGGTAGTGGAGGTATAGGTCTTCGCATTATTAACCTCTGCACTAGATGGAACTAGTGGTTCAGTTTTGTGCGTCTGCATTTTAGTGAGAGAGATGCAAGTGCTGAAACCAAATGGATGTAATTTTTCTTAGAATTTGTTTTGCCCTTTACTGCACCTAACACAGTAAAATTAAGTGGCCCCCTGCTGTACTCTCCACATTACAGCATAGTGTATAAACAGATTAACATTAATTGATAATTTCAAATGAGGTGGTAACTATGTCAATACAGACCAGTAGTGGAATAGGATTGTTATATATATTTCCATTGATATGAAGATAATATTATTTCACCAGAATAGGAAGTAATTAATAGCAGACTTCATATAAAATTTAAGTCAAACATGAAGTAAATTATACTTGTCAACAACAGTTTTGGATTTGTCAGGGACAAATAAATGCATTGTATTTTTACAGATCTATTACAATTTCTTTGAAATATACCATACTGAGTATAATGAAAGACTTCACAAATGGCTTGTAGTCATTAAGATCCTTATGTTCGTGCCTCAGGACCATGTGCACCATGTCCAAAAATGGTTAAGACTACATGCTTCTGTGGTAACCAGCCTCCAAGATTACAGCGCTGTAGCAACAAGTCTTGGTCATGTGGTTCACATTGTGGGCGCTTGTTGGGATGTGGCCGACATGAATGTGTTGAAGTATGTCATCCTGCGGAATGCCCACCCTGTCCCAAGACAAGTGTCCAGAGTTGTGAGTGTGGTCAACAGAAAGCTCTGCGACCTTGTGCTGATCCAAAATGGCAGTGTGAACAGGTAAACTTGCACAATACAGAATGTAAGATCTAAAGTCTGTGTAATAACATGACACATTAGTCTCAATTTTAGTGTGATAGGTAATTGAAATATCAAAGAATGAACAGAATGTTACAAAATGGTTAATTATTATAGTGCAACAGTAAGACCTACCTGCAAAGTTATCAAAGTTCCAAACGTGATTCCTTTTTTTTTAAAAGAAAACCTAGCTTTTATGAGTGATTGATTTATGATAAGTTTAAGTTGTTAGCCTAATATTTAAATTATCTGTATCATGACATTCCCTGGTCAGTTTACATATCAGAAAGGGGACATTTAATTTTACTAAATATTTCTGCAGTGCATGCATACAGCAGTTAAAATCAACTCACCAGTATTGGTTGTGTGACTGTCAACACATCAGAATGTACAAATATAAACTCAAAATTAACCTCACCAAAATTCTGATAGTGTTTTTGCTCCACAGTAAAAGTAAATGCTTATATTGCCATGACTTGATTACCAGACATTTGTTTGTGAATGTTGGCTGCCTCTTTTAAGATATAGATGGTATTAATGTAGAAGAGGCTCAAAGAAACATAAAATACCCCTTTAACTCCATTATCACAATGAGTCCATCTTCAGATTTCTTGTGTAAGTGTTATTCACTAGCATAAAATGATAGGCTTGCCCATTATCTACATTTACCTGAATCTAAGGTTACCCCTTAAGCCAGACACTTGAAATGAAAGGATAATCACAGGAAAATAATTTTTAATAATTAATGATTTTGATTTTATAAATTTACCTTGAGAGTATCACCAGTTATGTGCAATTGTGCATTCTTGGTTTGATCTGTGTTATTTCCTACAGTTACTCCGGAAATACAATCATAACTTTTTGTTTGTTCTGTTGAAAGCTTAGCCATGACCTCCCCCCAAAATAAGAAAACATACACATATGTTTAAACTTTGAATGTAATTTCTTTTTCTCGAAACAGAATTGCTTAACGTCATTGCAGTAATATCTGTAAACTAAGGCCAAATATATGCAGCTCTGTCCATCATTTTCTTCAGTCAGACACTGAAGCAGCAACAGAATATTTTGTGTAAATTTGATACCCACTAAAACACTAAATGGCCTAAATTTACCTCAGTCAAGAGATGGATTGAAGAAGAAGCCCAAATGAGAGACTGATGTGATATATATGTCAGGTGATCAGACTTGTCACATACCTGAGATTCTTCAACCCATTGTACTACATGCGTGATTTTGCTTAGAAAAATGCTGTTGAAGTTTGAAAATAAATGCCTCCAATTTGGTCTTCCACACCATTAAACTTGTTACCAGTATAGAAACGGTCTGATGTCCCATAACCATTAAAATAAGCTAATGATTCAGTTAAGATATGCATTTCTTACTAATTCTGCAAAGGAACTGAGACCTGTAAGTGTTATTTCCAGTATTTTAATTAATTTAATGTAGAGTGTGTCTACTGTCACAGAAATGTGGAGAAGTCCTCAGCTGTGGTAATCACAAGTGTGAAAAAGTTTGTCATTTTGGTTCGTGTGGTCCATGCCCACTGACAGAGGCCCGTTCTTGTCCATGTGGGAAGACTTCTTATATACTACCTTGTACACAAGAGATTCCCACCTGTGGGGACACTTGTGGTCGCACACTTGAGTGTGGGGCTCATGTCTGTTCACGAAGTTGTCACCGTGACAAATGTGGCACTGTAAGTAATATTTCTTGTACTGCTGTATAGATAAATTCTTATGTAGTGCATGAGTTCAGATTATCATTATGTGAGCAATTTACAGAGTGTGCCAAATTTAAAATTTTGATGTATACACATATCCAATCATTAACAGTTAACAAAAAGAAACTTGGATATGGCCAGATCTAGTCATTAGAGGCAAATGGTTTTAAGCTAGATGGTCAGGTCTAAAAATTGTAATGTCATAAATAAACACTTTCAATTTGTGACATTTCATAACATGATGTTCTGCATTGACAGATTGTTAGCCCTATGTTCAGTCACCAAGATGGAAGACCACCCCTGCAACTGTTTATTCACACGTTTGCAGCTGAAACTGTTAGTTTTATCTGTTGTTTTATATAGTTGTGAAATTGATCTCTCATACAAAGTGAAGTACATAAATTCAAGCTGTTTGAGAATGAAGCAGTGAGGAAAATATTTGGATCCTAGAGAGGGGAGACTTCATAATTTTGCATTATTTATTTAATATATTCAAGTGATTAAATAGAGAATGAGATGGTTAGGGCATATAGCATGCATGAGAGAGATCGGAAATACATACAAAGTTTTGGTGGGAAAACATAATGAAGAGGTCACAATGCCAAGACAGGTCCTAGGGAAACGGGATGGATGCTACTGCCCCAAGAAGGGCCAATGTTGGCTTTTGAGAACCCAGTAATGAACTTTTTAGTTCTCTAATAATAGGAAATTTCTTGTGCAGCTGAATTAACTATCAGATTTTCAAGGGAGAGTTGCTCCATTGAATAAGTAGGTACAGCTCAGTTTAGTTTGTAACATGTTTATTCATTCTTACCTGCATATGAGAGTTTGTTTGTTCTTTATTTATCTCACAGTGTTTAGAGATGGTGACTAAGAAATGTCGATGTGGTCTTCATAGCAAAGAGCTGCCCTGTCAGAAGGAATTCCTATGTGAAACCAAGTGTAAACGTACCAAAGGCTGTATGCGTCATCCCTGCAATCGCAAGGTAATGAGCTAACATATGGTGACACAGTACAGCAAACTTCCAGTTACTCGGTAACCAAGCATCTGAAAATCTCATCCAACCAACGGAAATTTCAAAGAAAATCTACCATTTTTATGAAGTTATTCAAAGGTAATTTTTTGTTACATGTATGTTCACCTGCTACATGGTAGTTCTCCCAGCCACCACCAGCAGCACTGTCTGTCTTTCTCCCTTATGCATGTGCCATTACAATATAGGCTAGTTGAATTTGCAATCCTGTCACAGTATATATATCCAGATCCTTTCACCCATCATTCCACTGTGTTTGTTAGAAAGACTGTCATGCAAGATATGATCCAGAAAAATGTTTTTACTTTGTGTTGTGTTTCTGTAACAGCTTTTCTCATGCAGCCAGCAGATTTACAGAACTGGCAAACCCCACTCCCCTTAAATACGGATAATTGGGTGTTTACTATAGTAGGGGTAGAGTCTACATTATGTCAATTGAAACATAAAAACACTTCAAGAGGTGGACGCTATGCTCTTAATAATTTCTTTGATGTTAATCTACAAACATGGCAGTTTACAGTGTGCACAAAGTGATTTGAAGTCCAGTCAAAGTTATGAAGGCTCCACTGCATAAACACACGAAGAAACAATGGTAAATGTTTACAGTATTGTAACTCTGAAATGGTAGCAAATCAGTCAATGGTTTATAACCATCTTCTGCTTCAAACAATTTTTTCAACAACCTAAAGTCCCCCCCCCCAAAAAAAAAAACTCCGTGGCCTGTATTTCGCAAGTGAACTATACCGACTGAACGACTGCTGCTTGTCAGCGAAGTTAATGCCAACTTTTGTGGATAGAGGGTGTTGCATGGTTGTTAACCTCGGTTCTCTAGACCGGAGCCACTATTTCCTTGAAATAGCTCCTCAGTTATTCTCAAGAGGCTGAGTGGACCCCATTCCAGACCCACTACTTCTCAGGAAAACTGTTAGTGCCGGGAATTGAACCTGAGCCCTCTGGATTTGTATCCAGGAACTCTGACCACTAGACCACAGAGGCGGAAAAAAATCACTGTATATGCATGTGCACATACAGACATATACATACATACAGCTTATTTTATGACTAGTTTGCCATACTTTGTTATAGGTGTGTGCAGGAGAGAATAAAAGAAAGTATAAATTGGATGGATCTGTTGGCACATTTTATGGGCTGCACCTTCAGTTAACGTTTAAAATGTTTGCCATGGTTTTCAGTGCATGGCTTTACTTGGTTCAAACTGGAGTTTACTGCCCATTGAGTCATTCTGAGGTGTTCTTATGTGTAAGTAGCAGCATTCTTGTTCAGGATGACCTCCAGTCTCATCTGTACTTGATCTTGTGGTCATGTCTTTCATTTCAATTGAATTGTGCTTCACATCAGAACAGCATGCAATGAAGAATCTGGCAGTGTTTGAAGCATCCACTGGCAAAATTGAACATGAAGATCTTAGTCATCTGGCTGAAGACATTGCAAATGGTGAGGATATAATCCTTCGTTATGTGTGGTTCGTCATGCCCATGATGCAGATTTGCCACGTTACTTAGACATTCCTCAAGTGCCGTTTACTTGACACTGTTGTTCTAAGTTGAGCTTGTGCTCTTCCAAAACATCTGACTGATATGTTACATGTTCTTGGTTACATGGATCAGCTGTCCCTGTTTCCCACAGTCTCAGGGTTTGGCAATGCAGAAATGTCTGTGATACTTGTCAAATGCTGCTGCTCTGCTGTTACCATCACAGAATACATAAATGTAATTTATATATTTGGAACATGGCTTTGTATGGGGCTGAAACTTGGATACTTAGGGCAGTAGATCAGAAACACCTGGAAAGCTTCAAAATGTGGTGTTGGAGAAGGATGGAGAAGATCAGTTGGACCGATTATGTAAGAAATGAAGAAGTGTTATTTAGAGTCAGTGAGCAGAGGAATATCCTACACGAAATAAGAAAACGGAAGGCTAATTGGATTGGTCATATCTTACGCAGTAACTGCCTTCTAAAAGAAGTTATTGAAGGAAAGATAGAGGGGCGGATAGAAGTGACCAGAAGATGAGGAAGAAGACGTAAGAAGATGCTGGATGAGCTTGGGGACAGAGGAGGATACTGTCATTTGAAGGAGAAAGCTCTAGATCGCATTAAGTGGAGGAATTGTTTTGGAAGAGACTGTGGACCTGTCGTCTTGACAGATTACCGATGAAAGAATTCAGTAAGATGAAACTGTTGATTTATTTTGCAGAAACACACATGAAGGCAGTATGGTTTTGACGTTATTGCAACACATTACCACATTTGTCTCTTTAACATGGATCAGAAACAAGTAAAGCAAGAAAGAGTTGAAAATCAGTTTTGGCTATAATTCAGCTGAATCTGTCACCAGTGTTGGCATGTATTGAATATCACAGAACTAGGCATTCCATAGTGTCTGTACAGTTGGAAATAGGAAAAATGTTGTACTATTAGCTTTTTTGTTATTTGGTATTACCTTTCAGAGTATGGCAGCCTGGTTGTTAGACATCCTGTGCACACACACGTAATGAACAATATTATGTAAATTTGAAATTCTGTTAATTTATTTTACCTATGCTTTTGTTTGATTGATAATGGTCTTTTTATTTCCTTATGTTATGTTGCAGTGATGGAAATTGTCTCCCATGTGAAAAGCCATGTGGCAGAACTTTGCGTTGTGGAAATCACAAGTGCGCATCCATGTGCCATCGTGGGCCCTGTTACCCATGCCCATTGACAGCAGAAGTAAAATGCCATTGTGGATTGACGGTACTCACTGTCCCGTGTGGACGCAAGAAGCAGACTCGACCACCACGTTGCAATAAGCCATGCAGGTAGCAGATGGGTCTCATTATCATTGGACATTAAGGATATCTCTGAGGGACTGTGGTGGTGTAATGGATAAATCGTGACTTCCTTTCTCATGTTCATTGCTGCAGTGCCTGCTCATATGTAGGATATGAAAGATGAATAGGAAGTCTTTGTCCCCTTCTCTCCTCTCTTAACATGCTCTTTGTCCTAGGTTTGATTCTTATCCATACAAATGGGTCTTTAGACAGTCATCTTTTCATTCTGTGCTGTATAAATTAAGTAAGAGGGAATCACTAAATAAATAAAAAACATAAGAACAGTTGTCTTTGTTCAAACTAGTTAATGTGTCTTCATAATTGTTGCCATTATAACAATTGCTATAGCATAAGGTGGCAGATTTTCATAGAATTTTATTGAGTTTAGATGAATCTGTCAACATAACGGAGTTCCAAGCAAAATATACATACTCGAGTTTGGGTTACACAGTGGTGCTCTGAAAACAAAAAAGCCATCAATAACAGGAAAAGGAACTATAATGTATTGAAAGACACCTGACATTTTGAAACCTTGCAAAAAAATTGCAATGAATGTGATGTGAATATGGCTTGCAGTCCTGCAGTTCCAAAAGCTTTTACATACTCGGAATATGATTCAGTATTGTTATACAATTTGTAATTAAACTAAATATTATTTGTTTTATGAGAAATGAAATTTCCTTAAGATCTGCAACTAGTTTTTGATGTAATGAATTGTAATGGTCAAAGAAATACAATTTCTGTCTGCAGCATGATACCTATTGTGATTAGCTCTGCAACACTATTTATACGTACAGTAAATGAACACAGAAGGCAGTGAAGTGTGCAAAGTAGAAAGGAATGTGTTTGGAAAGCATGTGGACTCTGTTGGATTAAGTGTTTCTCCTCTTGCTAATGCCGAACGTGTTTGATGAAAGTAAAGCATACCTTTTTGTCTGATACTCATAGAATATTGCCTGACTGTCACCATCCAAGTCGGGAGACTCATCGCTGTCACTTTGGTGATTGCCCACCTTGCCAGCAAGTGTGTGGGAAGTTACTAGAGCCATGTAAGCACAAGTGTCCAGCCCCATGTCACTCTGCTGTATGGGTTAAACTGGAGGAGAACCGAAAGCCTGTGGGTCCATGGGACAAGGTGCAGTCACAGGTGGAGTTAAAAGCACTGCCTTGTCCTAGCTGCAAGGTCAGTTAGAAAATATTGTGTAAGAGTTCAAAATATTGTGATATAATAGGTGTGACGATAAAGTAAAGTAAGTAAAGGTATCCCTGTAACAGTCTGTGGAGGCCCATAGGGTTGTGAGAAGTTGAGGTTCCCACATTTTCTAGACAGTGGGCTCATAGATGGCGGCAGGGTTGTCAGCCCTACACGCCGACCGCCCTTTACCTCCAAGAATATTCCTAGTACTCATTTCTGTTAGAGGTTAGTCAACCCCAGGGCCACTGTGTGGCTGGAAGGGTTAGGTCAATTGAAAAAAAAATCCAATGACCTCATTGGGACTTGACCCTGCGACCTTCCAGTTTGTAGCATAGTGCCTCAACCAACTATGCTACCACATGTCCCTAATAGGTGTGATGATAAAATACAAAAATATTGAAGAATTGGAGAAACCCTATGAGACAGTTCTTGAGAACGCCTCTGAATGCACAGTATGGACTACTGGTTATTGAAGAAACATGTAAATAAATTAAAAAATATGTGGAGGAAACTTGAAAGTGAAAGACTGAAAAAGTAAGCCTATTGCACTGAACATGACTTAATTAAAACGCCAAACAGGTACTCCATAACTCACTTCACCTTTGAAGTTTCCCCGTTGTTTAGATATGGTGGCCAGGACTTACTGTGTGCCTTCTAAACAGGATAGAAGGTCTTAAAATTGGTTATGTTGAATATTTACATGACGTTTTGACAGGACTTCATTACCTACTCACTGCTATGAGAACCTGAAGGCACAGTACCACTAACATCAAAGCTCACTTTCAGACGTCATCCTGATCTGGTTCAATTCACCCTGACAATCTGGTTCCTTACTACTCTATATACTTTAATGGCAACTTTCCATGTATGGTTCCCATACCCATTGGATAGGTTGGGTGGGCCAAATACCTGGTCTGGACACTGTGGAGAAGAGAAAAATCTTGCCTGTGCCAGGAATCAATTACAGCCATCCATCCCATAGCCTGTCGGTAGTTGCCATACTGACTGATCTATCCTGACTCCTTCATTTCTGATGGCAGGCTTTTATATTTGGGTTCCACTACCACTGTGATGATTAGTTAGATCTTAGTGTTTCCAAATGCAAGAGTTGGAACTGAACATTATAAAAACTGCAACTTTCTTAAGTTGTGTGCACTTTTATGTGAAGGTACCAGTGGCAGTAACCTGCCTTGGAGGTCATGAGACATGTGATTGGCCCTGCTATATTGCAAATCCGACATCATGTCAGCGCAGATGTGGGCGAATGTTGGCTTGTGGAAATCACACCTGTAACCTGTTGTGTCACAGAGTTGAGCAGGCTCCTAATGAAGTGGCTGTAAGTAACCCTCTTACATAGCACAGAATTTATTACCTGATTCAGGAGCCAAAGAAGAAGGGTGTATATTGCTGGAGAATATTTTGTTATTTTTGGTTATCATTGGCAGTCATGTTCATATGTTATAAATCTATCATTGCAGAGCTTGTCACACTGCAGATTCAGAAATTATTTTTTCATGTGTTTGCATTAAATATTCACCATATAAAAGGTGTTGCAAATAAGAGTTATCAAATCTGTATTTTGTTATGTACCAATTTATTGTATGTTGAGACATTTTTTATTCATTTGAGGTACATGTGAAGTTGGGGTATGTTACACCAGACTGGACAACAGTTGAATTCTTCCTACAACTCGTTTTGTGTAGAACCTGAATTTAATTGAACTTTGTTGGTAGCTTTGAAGATGACACATTTAGACATACAAATGTAATGTCTTACATATATTAATTTTGTACAAAGATTGCATAGTAATATTTTTTATTAAGTATGGCTTCACCACAATGGTTGCACAAATACCAAAAACAAGAGGCACTGAAAGTGTGATAAGGAGTTGGTATTTCATGTGTATTATAGCTACAAGAATTACAGGCATATAGTCTTCATCTGTGCATATATAGTACCTGTACTGCAATTGGCTTTGGCTTTGCAACAGTAGATTTGTGTCTGGAAATAGACAGAAATATGAATATTAAGACCAATGGGGTATGAAAAATCGCATGTACACGCACAAAACACTGGAAAATATTGTAACGTGTTTACGTTACAGAATACAGCATAGAGATCGTTAATTGGTTCATTCAACAATCTACAAGAAACGGCTACAATTAATTATAACACAGTTGCGGGGTTTCACAATTTATAACCCTATTCGCAATAATCAAATCACGCTATTGCCAGTAGACTTCACGTACTAATAACGCGGGAGCTATACAAGTCTCCCTGAATTACACACTCTCACTCGGAACACGCCGCTGGCTAGTAGGCTTGCTCGGAACTACTCGGAGGTAGCTCGAAGACTGACTCGGAGATAGCTCCAGGACTGACTGTGAATAGCCTTCGTTGCTCCTTATGTAGCCTCGATTGGACAATACAGAAAACGGCCACATAATAGGCACAACTATGTCTGGTGCCATCGTGCCAGCAACGCTGTGTACCGCTGTTACTACCGTCGTCTCTCGCTACCACTGTTGACCCGCGCTGCCTAGCAACCCGCGGTACGTCTTGGTGACGTCACCGCTGTTGACTCGCATTGCATAGCTACTAGGATGCTNGCGTTGCCTTGCGACCAGGATGCTAGGACTCGGGTAACATCGGTTGGCGGGGGGGGGGGGGGGGCGTCATCCATAGCTCAACATGTCACAATATGTAAGTCTAAAGGGTTGTGACAAAAGTGTATAACACTTGGGATTCCCTAGTATATTAAACAACGGATGAAGTCCAAATACCCAGAAATTTAAAATGTACAACTTTTTGCCTTTTGTTTTGTTTGAGGAGGAACAGCACACTAGATAGCCTGCATTATGCGATATAATATTGTATTTCAGCATACTTTTTACTAACTTATCACGTATACACACATTTACTTCCATCTCAAATGCAACCTTACCTCTTTGCTGCACATTTTGGCCATACCCGGCCATCATCAGGCAACTGTTTATCTTGCTAAAACCATTACATTGTATTTTCCACTGTATTTAAAATGAATTAACTCCAGATTAAAATATGTCACTGTTGTTCCACTTCGTCATTTGTTCATAAAAGAGTGCATTACCTGTCATTGTGTTTTCGTGCCGTTTTCCTCCGGTGTAAATGTTTTCTGTAATGTGTAATGTGTGTTATATGAATAACTTTTGTTATTGTTAATTTTTACACATTTGATAGCTGTTTAATTTTATTTACACTTGTTCTTTAGTGTAGTTCTTACCGATGTCATTGTAGTGTTGTTATCATAATTATCTGCAATAAGTAAGAATGTATGTTTATATTTGTTATATTTTTGTGTTTGTACACAAGTTTCTTTTCATGCTTGCATCCTCCATTGATTCGTGTATTTCCACGGTGTTGTATTAGCTGAGTGTGTCACTATGCAGCTCATAATGTGTGTTCCCACAAGAACATTTCATCAAAACTCCTTATGTGTTATCTTACAGGTTGGTGATAACTGTGAACAATGTGAGTTAGGCTGCAGCAAACCACGCCCAGAAGGCTGTGTACACGCCTGCCTGAAGCGCTGTCATCCAGGTGACTGTCTGCCATGTAGCCAAATGTTGCGGGTGCAGTGTCACTGTGGCCTCAACCAATTGTATGTATGTTGCAGTGAATGGACATCTTCCAGTGCGGACAAGAAACAGAGCCTGAAAAGTTGTGGCAATCAGTGCCCCAAAAATGTAAGTAGTTTTAGTGTAATAAGCCTGAAATTTATGAATGTTAGCATTCAAAATATTTGTAAATCTTTTGTTCATAACTTGGAATTCAGCTTCTCATATATACGGTATTGTAAATGTTGGTTAGGTTTCCAGTCCAGGCCACAGTAGCTGTTAACCCATAACTAAGCCAAAATATAGTACATTTTAAATCACTAGCAGTACAAAGCAGTAGAAGTAATGTACCAGGGTAAAAAGACAAACCGAACACTATTTTTTTATTGCTAGTGGGGTGGGACTAAGTCACTTGTACTGCAGCCCCTTCTGGCCTGTTGTACCAGCCCCAGATGATAGGTGAGGGTGATTGTGGAGCAATTGGTGGAATGAAGACTGGCAGGGGAAACTGAAGTACTCTGAGAAAACCTGCTCCAGTGCCACTTTGTCCACCACAAATCCCACTTGACCAGACCCGAGATCGAATCCGGGCTGCCGCTGTGGGAAGCCAGTGACTAACCGCTTCAGCTATGGTGCAGCCAAACTGAACCCTAAGTTCTTAGCCCAAGTTGCTTTCTGTAAGGAGAATAAAGTGGGCATATGAAATTGCTGTGGTCTGTATCTCCCTTTCAGGGTTTGAACCACTTGCTCAAATTGATGAAATTTTTGACATTCTGCCATGGGTGGCCACCCCATCACATATTTCAATTTGCTATTATCATTAATACCAACATGATGGGGACACAAACTTGTGATATGGGAGTGACAGTAGCACAATTTCTTCTGGTGTCCTTAAATGATATATTGTAATAGATCCTTGAAAGATATGCTGCTTTTGTAGTGGTAATTTCTTTTTAGAATGTAAAACAGCAGCTTGCAGTGAGTGAAATCTATATTTAGCTTTCAATTTGATGGCAGTAACTAATGAACCACAGGAACTGAGCATGTGAAATTTGGTATGGAGATAGCTCACAAAGGTACCTGCAAATTCTGTATGAGATACTCTTTATAAATTAACAATTATGAACATGGTGTTGGTATGAAGTTCTGAGGCATGAGAATCTTTCACTTCTTTTACAGTCAAGGGAAGAAACTCAAGCCCATTTTGACTTATAGTTACCACATCTGTGCTTCGTAATGAAGTGCATGTTTTGGGAATCTGTTACTGTCAGTTCTGTTGGAATACTTTGACATTTGTGGGACATCTGCTCAGTTTGTGTGACTTTACCTACTTTAATGGTTGTGACTGGGTGAAAATCAGACAATTATTCTGAGGCATCTATGGTTTGAAATGTTACCGTTCATTCTGTGTAGTTATTTTGAATAGGTGAAATCAAATGGTATGGCTGCACATTAACCGTTTCTGCCCTGTAGTTATAATTTGTTGGTGAGTAAATGTTTAGTTATTTCTGTAAATTTTATCTAATGTGGTACATCCTTTGACTTCTTAAAAATTTGCTTGCTTGAATTCTACTTTAAGTTTCATTTCTACATAAAAGTGTCAGAACTGCTGTTACTTACAAAATTTCAGCTTGAGAATATCTGTGCTGAGTATGTAGCACACGATCTGAGAGGTATTCTGTGTATGAGCATGTCGATGCACAAGTGTGTACACACACAAGACAACTTTTATTAGTCAGGAACTGAAGGTAATGAAAAACTGTGTCTTATATAGACCTTTCATATAACTGTGGGAACTGCCTACATTCAAGCAAATGTGACAACGCAATATCATTGCTTGAATGTGGGCAGTTCCCACATCTATATGAAAGGTCTATATAAGACATAGCTTTTCATTACCTTCAGTTCCTGACTAATAAAAGTTGTCTTGTGTGTGTGAACAGTGGTTGCTAAGCAATGATACTTGCGTTGTCACATTTGCTTGAATGTGGGCAGTTCCCACATAGTCATGATGTTGAACAAATATTTGGTTAATTTTTATTTTATAGTATGAGTGTGGGCATCGTTGTCGTGCACCCTGTCATCCTGGTGAGTGCCCTGATCCAGAGATGTGTCGTAAGAAGGTGAAACAAACATGCCCCTGCCGTCGACTGAAAAAGGAATTTCCTTGTGATGTAGTAAGAATAGGCCAAGTCAAAGTTGAATGTGATGATGTGTGCAAGCAGAAGAAAGATGAGGAGATGAAGGTATTTGTTTGTTTGTTCACAAGCTTGTGTTTCAGTTGAAGTTACAGATTAAAGGAGGCATAAGTTGTGAAGTATTCTGTGCCATGTGAAAGGTGCGTTGTGGAAATGGTTCATGCAGAATTTTCTCATTAATAATACTTTACACATTTTCCTGTCCTTCTTAGGATGGGTGACCTGGCAGTTTGTGGTAAATGGCTGATTTCTTTTTCACTAGGCCCCGCCATATTCTATATAGATTTCTCCTCGTACTGACCTCAGCATTTATCTCTGATACAATGAAAACTTTGTGAATCTAAGGAATGTCAGATTGCCTTCATGGATGAATGCAGGGCACTCTTCCAGCCATCACCCTGTGCTTTTCATGGAACCTGCCCAGTGGTACTCCCATTTAACCTGAAAACATCCAAATAACTGCTAGGGAAGGCAGAGTTAGTCAGCTGATATCACAGATAAAGAAGAACTCTAAAACAGCTTATGGCCAGATGTCCATGGTTTTATGGGAAATTCTAAGTTTGGTCAGTCCTGAATTTTAAATTTTGATGAATGTTATTTATAGCTACTGAAAACTGTTAGACATAACTTGTAATATTTTAGTCCCTTTAGGTAATTAATTGGGCCACTCATTATGGTTTATTCTATTCTCATTTAGTTGTTACAATATACTTTGAACCCTAGCTATTTTATGTAGAAGGGGGAGTCAAATGAAAACCTTAAATTTGTAATAAAAAATCGAAATTTCGCGCCATTATCCTGTAAGTTGGTAAGCGTGCTACAAACAGCGTGCAGAATGGCCTATAGGTTGCAGCATAGTGCAGATGCACGAACACCGTCACGGTGCCAGTATAAGATGGCTGCCCCACTTGAAACTTGCACCAGGGAAGAACAGCGTTGTTATTCGGTATTTGTGTAGTGAAGGTGTGAAACATATTGAAATTTATCAAAGAATGAAGTTTCAGTATGGTGATGCAGGTTTGTCACAGCAGCAAGTGTACGAATGGAGTAGGAAGTTTGCAAAAGGTGTGACTTCAGTGGAAGATGCTCCTCGTCCGGGTCAGGCACATCGAGTTGTGACTCCAGAGAACACTGCAGCAGTTGAAGCCATAGTGAGGGAAAACCGCCGAGTGACATTGAATGAAATTGCAGCAAGTTTAAACATTAGTCATGGTTCAGCACACCACATTGTGCATGATGTGCTCCAGTTTCACAAAGTGCCTGCAAGGTGGGTGCCACGGCAGCTGACTCCTAAATTGAAAGACCAATGTATTGATGCTTGTGAAGAACTTCTGCGGTGCTCTGAACGAGAAGGTGATGACTTCCTTTCAAGAATCATTACTGGGGACGAAACCTGGGTACACTTACACCAACAGGAAATGAAGAGAGCGAGCAAGGAATGTCGCCATTCCTCATCTCCAAAACCAAAGAAGTTCTGAACACAACCATAAGCATGGAAGGTTATGCTGACTCTCTTTTGGGGCGAAAAAGGCGTCATTTTGGAGCACTACACGCATAGAGGGACCACTGTCACCAGTGCATCATACTCAGATCTCCTAAAAAATAATCTTTAGCCTGCAATCAAATCAAAGCGATGTGGATTGCTGTCCACAACAGCTGGCTATTTTATTTTGATCTCATTTGTTTATCATCTGGGCTTTGCTTCCACAGGTACTACACCATTCATTGTTATATTTGCTATCTTTTCCATGGGAACGTGTTTGTTTGCAAAGGCGTTAACCAGTCATAGCCACATATACTTATTAAAAATCTGATGCCTAGCAGCAGTTGTTGTTTCATTGTTTGTTTCAAGGTCATTACCCAGTAATGGCTCTACATGCTACAATATTATACAAGCTCAAGAATAAATGTCTTACTCTAGTTTATGAAGGAGTCAGGATAGCTCAGTTGGTATAGTGACAGACTACAGGCTCAATGGCCCAGATTCAATTCCTGACAGTGCAAGATTTTTCTTTTCCACAGCTCTGGGGCCCACCCAGCCTCCCATTCAATGGATACTGGGGCTGTTTCATGGGGTGGGGGTAGAGTGACAGGGTTGTGAAGCTGACCACTTGATCTAATGCTGAGGTCAAGAATGGTGGACGTATACCTCCACTTCCCCATGTCTTCATGGCATAGTGCTTAACTAATTAAGCACAGGGACTTTACCTTTTTACTCTAGTATATAATTAATATTCTGGACGATTCCCTCTAATACCTAATACAGTTTTTGTATCTTGATATAAAGCTTTTAAACTTGTGTTGAATTATAAGCATGTTCTCTTTATTATAAGATTTGTGATAGCTTTTTGGTATTTACTTCAACACCTTGTAGAAGTTATGCCACTCTCTGAGACTGAATTGTCTTCATTTAGTTTATTTTAAGGCTATGTATATGTGTCTGTAGATAACGGAGGCAGAGAAGTTAAGAAAGCAGTTGGAGGAAGAGCGTCGGAATCAAGAGGAAGTAGAAAAATTCCAGAAAAAGTTCCAGGCACGCAAGAAATACCGTGAACGCCGGCACCATGAAGAACAGAACTCTAGTTCCTTTCTTGCTCACTATTGGTATTTTTTGGTTGGTTTGTTAGGAGTAATGTTGGCATTTTATTACATGATCCTGTTATAGTACTTCTGTGTATGAAAATAAATGTTGGATTGAGTGGCTGTATTTTACACAGCCACTTTCAGTGAAAGATAATGTATTAAAAAGAATTATAAATAAATCATATACTTTTATAATGGGATGTATGGATATAGAAATTAAATATTTCATTTGACATTATATTAAACAGGCATCACTAAAAATAAGAGACAAATATTTATTATTCATTATTCTCGTAAATGATCTATGTTAATAACCATTGTCATCATCACTGAAATATATATATGCATATTTACAGTAACACTAGCTGCTCAGATGACTGTACATTCAATTATTTGTTGTAACAAAGTTCTCGCAAGCTGATCGGTTATGTATTTACAGGAACGTACACATCAAATGTGCATACTGCTCAATCAACTAGCCACGAGAATGGCAGTTTTTCACATGTGAAATAATATTACTACATAATATGTACAAATGTGGCTTGTTTCTCGCACTTTGTAGAAAGAATGCAGAGAAACTTTAAAGTTTAAAATATGACTGACTGTACATTGCACACAATTGACACATTCTTACACTCACATGTATACACATCCACAGAATAAAATAACTATGTATGTATTAGTCTGTATTGATTTCCTTGCATTTTCATGTACAGGTAGACTGCAAAAGTGTGACTGTTTAAGAGTTGTATTCTGTATATACAGTATGTTAATCTGCTTCACAAATAGAGAGCAATGATATGAAATTCCAGGAGTGATACTGAATTTAATCTTTGATGGAATCAGAGCTCTTTTCTTTGGGTGGTATACAAAGGTACAGTGTTGTGGCATCCATTCCCCACAAAAAATCTTCGTAAGATGGGATAATAAAGTTTAATTTTGCCTGGGGGAGGGAGAGCCTTCCCCTTGATAAAATTCAAGTATTGGCACTTTTATTTCTAGTGACTTCTTTGATATTGACGTATTTAATAATTTGATTTCTGCTTGGTCTGCGATCAAATTTTGTTACATTTAAACAATTGCTTTGACTAATTGCCCTACAAAAGGTATTTTAGTATCAACTGAAACAAGAATTCAGAAAATTTGTTTCTTAAGTTGGCAAGTGATTCAGTTTAAGAAGACACTATACAGGGCAGTTTTAATGACACACAGAGAACCTGGTAAGTGGATTTGCCATGGGAGCTTTAAATCATTGTCCTCTGGTGGTCTGTGAACAGTCTTGTCCATATCCCACTCTTATGAACTGTATGTGATGTTCTGAAACACCAAGGAAGTGATGCTTGTACATTGGTTGAATTATACCCTGCAAAAACTTTGGGATAGGATTCTTTGTCACTTGGATGTTGTAAGAATTTCTCTCTGAACTCATACTGACTGTCTTTGAAGTTGAAAAATTTGGGTACTGCTTCTGTTTGTACAAATAAACTCAGCTTGTTCAAAACAGAATTTAAGAAGTGAATGCTTCGTTTTTTAAAACCATAAATACCCTCATTTTCTTTGCCTCAGTGCACATTTTGTTTAGAGTAACATTTTTTAGTACTTTTACAATCAAATTTCCTGTACTTAAAGCACACACACTTTTGTCACCATTAAGTAACTTTAAGTCGTTACAATTGTATTAAGAATATTTGTCACAAAACTGATGACATTTTAATGTCAAATCACAAACACAAAGCTCAACTGGGGAAACTTTTTGTCCTGCAATTTCCATTCATTTTATAGAAACTAAGTAGTGCTTGGGCCCATCTAATGACTTTGAAAAACATGAGTTTTCTATATAAAATGGAACCACATATGTGAAGCCAAATTTCCTATATATATATATATATATATTTCATTGTATTGGGTCTACATGTCTTCTGTAAGGTAGAAAAAATTAATATAATAATTTAGATGAAAGTTTGCTTTAATATATTACTTGGGGGGGGGGGTTATCGCTCCCATGTTTGCTATATGCAACATCCTTGTTTGTTGACAGATATTCACCTATAGTCAGTCTCGTACACTCTAAAGATTAACAGTACTTTTCCTGTATTGGGGGCATGCAGTAGCATAGTTGGTTGAGGCACTACACTATGGGCTGGAAGGTTACAGGTTCAAGTCCTGATGAGGTGGATTTTTCCAATTTACGTAGTCCTTCCAGCCGCACTATGGCCCTGGGGTCGACTCAGCCTCTAACAGAAATGAGTACCAGGAAGCTTCCTGGGGTGTAAAGGGTGGCTGGTGCATAAGGCTGACAACCTTACTGCCATCTGTGAGCCGAGTGTCTAGACAAAATGTGGGAGCTTCAACGTCTCACAACCCTATGGGCCTTCACGACCTGTTACAGGGATAGCTTTACCTTTTATAGCGGTGGTTACGAAGAGTTCTGTCTTCTGGGACATAATGCCGTGTAGTCTGTTGAAAGTCAACAGACATTACAGAGGAACATGTTACTTTCATCTTCAGGGTCAAAGAATAACATTAACACTTTGCGGACCGGTATTATTATTATTATTATGATTTTAGGACACGTTGTGTTGAAACACACTATACCTTGCACTGGCCCCAGGCAGATGCATGACTGGTGCGTGATAGACCTCTTTAATGTTTGTTTCGTAGTAAGTAACATGATCCAACTCTTTTTCCTTTCCCACACCAAAAGAAAATGCCTTTGTTCATCTTCCAGCTGCATGCACCAGGCAGGAAGTTACTAGTGCAAAATGGATCAGGGTTGGAAGAGGTTGAGGTCCAAGCGTTTTCTCGGAGAACGAGAAATATCTGACTTGTTCTCCGATGAGCTATCGGTCGTCCCTTGTGAGTCTGCTAGTGATGACTCACAATCTGATAGCGAGTGTGGCAGGGGTGAACAAAAAATTGGACCCACAGACAGTGAAAGTGAAAGTGACAGTGGCTCCAACGAAAGTGAGGGTAGCAACATTGCGTGGACGGCCGCATGGGGAAAAGTAGACAAAACGCCTGCTTTGGGACAGTTTACTGGAAATCCAGGGGTGAAGCAAATTCCATCGGACCCAACACAAGTGTCTGAAGTAGCAGAACTGTTGTTTGGAGACAGGGATACTCGTGTTGTGAATATGATTTCCACAATTTACAATTCGAGCATGGTTGATGTTCAAAGGAGACATGGACAAGTAAATAAGCCTATTTGTATTTCTGAGTATAATATGTTCATGAAGGGAGTTGATAGCCAATCAGTACTTGGCCTATTATTCTCTTCCTAGGAAAATAATAAAGTGGACAAAGAAAGTTGCCTTGTGGCTTATAAATTGTGCCATTTTCAATTCATTTTTGGTTTACAAAAATCTAAACTGATTCGAAATTGAAATACAAAGCATTTCTGATGAATGTGGCCTGGGCTACAGACCAGATGGTGGTGGCAGAATCAGAGTCAGGCACAGACTTAGTGCGACCGGGCCCATCAACTCCAACCCCACGCAATCCTCGTGTGGACACCCCTGGGTGACTCTCGGGTGATATGCGGAAACATACCCTTGTGAAAATTGTAAAGAGTGAACATTCCAAGGGGAAGCATCCTTCTAGGCAGTGCTGTTTTTGCACAGTTCACAAAAAAAGGAGTATGACTGTCTAAATTGCAAGTGCCACTTCATAAAGGGGAATGTTTCCAGAAATATCACACTCTCAAGCACTTCTAGAAGCATTGGTAAGTGTTCTCCAAAAATTTTAGTTCATAAAATTAATTAGGAAATTTTATATTAATTTTTAAAGTGAACAGTGCAGAAGTTAGGGTAGTAGGTTTAAAAATGCTGGTCCCCAGGGTGATTTAAATATTTAAATCGCCGGTCCGTGAAATGTTAAGCAAGAGACCAGCAGAGCTCGCTGTTTGCTTCATGTTGGTCTCTTTCTTGGCTTATTCTTTGGCCTTGAAGATGGAGGCAAGATGTTCCTCCTAAACGTCAGTTTACTTTCAACAAAACTACACGGTATTGTACCCAAGATAGAATACTTCAGAAACAAAAAGATTTTGGTACAGGAGGCCTGTGACAGTGTTTCAAAGTTCAAGCAGCAGGGTCCTTTACTAGCTAAATGGCTGCTCAACTACTAAGACATTCCTCACATTTTGTGTGGAATCTGAAGATTCATTATCATGTTCACAGGATCCTGCTGTACAGTGTACTCTCCATCCTCAAATATGTTTTACCTAGAGGGTGACATCATATTTCACACCCATGTAGAACATGTAAAATTGTAGTTTCCTGTTGAAGATAAAATTCCCTTTAGATTTTCTAAGAATGCAACTGTGATTTCTTACTATCATATATAACGTGGCTACATGCACATCAACATTGATGGCTATATGCACCTAGCTAATGTTCAGGGGGTTTGTCTTACACCATGATGATGAGATATGGACGTCTTCATTCATTTCAAGATAGAAAACTAGTCAGACTATGATGTGTCAACTGCAGTATTTATTTAATGTCAGATGAGGGACTGAATGATTATGAACAATGAAATGGACGAAATGTAGTTTAGAGTGGGACTTCTCAAGGGGCTATGATAGAAGTTGTACTGAGAGAAGCATCTCAGGACAGACAAGACATCTGGCTGAGATATGTACAAAAAAAAAGATGTGGACATTAATGGAGCTTTGGAAGATATTACAGAAAGTATCAAAATTCGGCCACAAAGAGTAGGATACTACAAGTTAAAGCAACATAAATCATGGTTTTATGGCATATGCTTAGAATTATTACATCATTCAGAGCAAGTCTGACTGTAGTGGTTGCAGAATCCAAGTGAATGAAGATAATCTGAACAAAATAAGGCATAAAAATAGTAGAAATTTCTTGAAGGAAAAAGGGGGGGGGGAAGGAATATTTGAAGCACAAAATCAGTTAGCTTTACACAAACACTAAAAGCATGAATATTTGGGATTTATAGAGGCATAAATAAATTTAAGAAACATTCCCAACCTAGGACTAACTTGGTAAAGGATGAGAATGGTGATACCCACAGTACTTTGAATGGAAGGAAGAATTACTTTTGTTGCCTGTTGAATATACATAGGATGTTAGGGTGACAAATACTTTCAGCAGAACCCAATTCTTGTGAGGGTCACACTGCTACTGAAGTGTTGAAACATAGTATAAATGGCCAGGTACTGATCAAAGTCTGGCAATACTGATCTAAGAAGAAGGTGAATAATTACAGTCTGACAGGCATAAACTTATTAATTTAATTTTGAATGAACTGCTACAACAGTTGAATGAATCTATAACTGAACCTACTGTCAGGTTTCTGAGTGGTTATTGACAGGGTTTGAGTTGGTTGGATTTAGCAAACATTTATACACATAACACATAACTTCAAATAACAATAACAGCCTCACTGGTTTACACATTCTTAAGATCACTGTTGACTGCATCACACATGAAGTCTTCTCTGTCTTCACTAGTTGTTTCCTGTTAATGAATTTTAGTAATGTCCTCTGCTAATTTCGTTACCAACTGGAAAATATCCAACAACTGAACTATACTCCAAATTTTTCCCATCTATAACCCCTTGGGATGAACTGCTTGGAAAACCCCGCTCATTGTTGTAGTTCATCTGTTGCTGTGGGAAGAATTCATTACTCAGCAATGGCCACCATATATTTGCTTATTCTGCGGATGTCTAGCAGTGGGCATAATTTATAGTCATTACTTAGCAATGGGTTTACATGCTACACTATTTATAAAAATGCTGATAAAGATGGCTGCAATAATTATTGAGGTATATCCCTGTTATCTACATAGAAAATGTTATCCAACACACTCAATTTGAACTCCATATGCAGACAAATTTATAGGGGATCATCAGTGTTGATTCTGTTGCAAGAGGTCAACCACTGATCAGCTATTCGAGAAAAAATGGGAGCACAGTGAGATAATACATCAGCTGTTTATGCACTACTGAATTCAGTATACCCATGAAACTGATTAGGCTAATTTAAATAAGTTTAAACTCAACTACTGTAGAGTCTGTGTACATAACCATTTATTTAAGTACTTCCTATGCAGAATGATCAGATGCTTTATCACCATTGCTTTTTAACTTTATGTTTGAATATGCCTTTATCAAGGTCCAAGAAAACCAAGAGGGACTGGGTTTGAATAGAACACACCACCTTCTGGTTTACTGGGTGCAGACAAATGCCATAAACAGTGAAACAGAAGCTCTGTCAGATAGCAGATAGCTAGTAGAGAGGCTGCTCTGATGGGAAAGACAGAGAATATTAAATATTGCATATGGCCATGTCCCATCATAAGAATGCAGGGCAAGAACAAAATACTAAGGAATCCTTAACAAATGTTCCAGTGTTTGAATATCTGGAAATATCAGTAACAAATCAAAGTTGGATTCATAAGGTAAGAGCAGATTAAATTTGGGGAATGTTAACTATCTTTTAGTTCAGAACTGTTTGTCTTCATGTCTGCTATGTAAGAATACAAAAATATAAATTTACTTGTAGTTTTGTTTGGCTTTGAATCTTGACCCTTTACATCAAGAAAAGTATGGATTGGGGGTGTTTGAGAACAGGGAGCTCAGGGGAGGAAGTGAGAGAATGATGGAGAAAACTGCATAATCTGTACTGCTTACCAAACATTAGGATGATAAAATCAAGGATGAGATTGGTGGAACGTGCAGCACACATGGGATGGACTGAGACTTCTAAGGTCCTAGGCATATATGGGAGAACAATATGAAGATGAATCAAAGAAACGGTGGGAGGGCATGAAGTGGATTCATATCCAAGTCAGTGTATGAACCAGTGCCAGGCTCTTGTGAACACTGTAATGAACCTTGCATTCCATAAGAGGTAGGCAATTCCTTCAGTAAATGAGAAACTATTACCATCACAGGGAGTCTGTTTCATGAGTTATCTGGCCCACTGAATGGGTCCCTCTTAGCTAGGTCAACAGTGATCTAGTGCATACATTAATCTCATAAAAATGACAAATTTTACAAAACAAATTCTTCTGATTTTCTCATTTTGTTTTAAACTTTAAAACTCTATAACCCATTAGTGAACTGAAAGTGAGGAAACCATGCATTTTAACATTATGTCATTTTAAGTAATTAGCATCTGCATCAGTTGTTTGCAACATATATCATCTGCTTATGTCTGTACATAAAAAATATGTTCATAAAAAATCTAACATTAATGGATGCTGATAGGAACAATAAACTTATCTTGCCCAGATTTAACCTGAAACCAATGTGTAGACAGTGGATGATAAAAGACTATGAAAAGGCACCCAGAATTTGAGCCACATTCTTAGGAACAAAGATTGCTAATTTCATCATGTATCTAATTACAAAATAAGGAAGGCCTCACAGAAGAGATGTTCTGAGATTAATGGTACACACTTTTGATTGTTACAAAAACAGTGGGATCACAACAATGCACAAAGCTGTAAGTTTATCTTGTAATACCTACAAATTGATTGCACAAACAATTTATATCTTTCCCATAACAGCATAAATATTTCTTGCAGCACCATTAAGGTGCTAAATACAATTCCACCATTACTTTAAAATTGTTAGAACAAAGTATATATCATTTTTTCCGGCATTCTTTTAATACAGCTGATTGGGGTCATTTATTTGACTAAACTATAGTCAGTATATAGATATATCTATATATAAAACAATTAAAATTTTCCAAAATTCACATTATACATATAAAAGTTTTAAAATCAAGTTTCTGTAAAATAATAACATGGAATAAAAATACTTTTAAATAACTACAGAAGATACTTAAGCCCTCTGTGTAGCTGTTAATACTACCAAGAATTGGGGTGTCTACAGGAACCAAGGAGGTTCTAACAGTTTTGCAAAACATATCTCAAGATTTCCTCCAAGAATATATCTGTGATGAGAACTGCTTCCAAGCTAAAGCAACAGCTGCAAAAGAATTTGCAAAGTGTATCAGAGAAATGTAGTGTGTGTGTGTGTGTGTGTGTGTGTGTGTGTGTGTGTGCGCTTAAAAAATGCTTGTACAATCCAGACTAAAACTGTATCAAACTATATATACTTACTCATACACACTCATACAACCACCCTGTAATATACAAGAGAGCTCACCCTCAATCCTATGTTTGTGGATTGCGAGAAAACAAAAGATATCACACACCATACACATTTTTCTAACTAAAATTAATAGCTAATGAACACATGTCCTTACACTTTCTATCTGATGAAAGTAAAACACTTCATCTCAAGAAAACAAAATTGCATTTTAAACACCGGGAAAGAGTAGCATTAAAAAGAGAAGCGTAAGTAAATTTTGTTACATATGAAGTTTGTGGCCCAATGCAAAGTGTACAACTGTACTGGTGTTTGTTGTATTGTTTGGAAACGTTAGTTCACACACAGTACAAAGTACATAAAATAAAAAGCAGAGTTCACTTTCATGAGATACTGTATCTTTGGTATTTTAATTCAACATTCAGCAAATGTTTCGCACTGAAGTTCTCTTGCAGTAAATATTTGCTTATTTCTTAATGTTCCATTGTATTTAAAACTAAATACAAAAGCAATATGCAATAACCAGTCACATGTGCCAAAACCATGCAGTTGCTCAGACTTTATAGTCCTAATGTAATATATTCTTGGCAGATATGATAGATCATGAAATCTGAACCAGCAGATTTCATACAGTAACCCTGATGCTGAACCAATGAAACTGAAATGAAACAGGCTGGCTTCTTGTTTTGGAATTAGCATTCCATTTTTGTGATTCAGGAACAGGAGATCTTAGATCCCCTGGTACTATGAGGCTGGTGACCATTTTTAATGGGGTAAATGGGGTAATGGTAGTAGTACTGAAAGAATGCAATGCTCAGCCAGCTGGACTGCACATATATACCATTGCAATAATGCAGTGCATGCCAGTAAAGATAAAGAAATTTTAAATTGCACAACTCTGCAACATTAGCGTAAATTTATATGACACAATCTGAACCAGAAATGATATTGCTTGTCTTGAACTACACACATTGTTCATTTATTGAATGTGAATAAAAGGTGTCCTGGTCCCATGAGCTTTCTTGCAACAGAATTCTGCAAAACATGCTGCATGTCATAGAAGTTTCACTTTCACAGAAGGACCTATCATAGCCATGAGGGGCGATTTAGAGCATCATAGGGCTGGCGAATGCCCAGTGCAGGATGATAGCCAGGTGGATAGCCAGAGGTGGATGCCAGAAGCCCTTGGTGGAGCACCATAGGGGCACTAGCTGCAGAATGACGCAACAGCTCCTCCTGGTGGCGCTGCAGGTACTGTTGATATAGTGGTGTGGTGGCTCCTGATGCATCCATCAAAGCTGGCTGGTGGTTAAGAAATGCCGGAGCTAGCTGGGGATAGCCAGGAGGTGGTCGTGGCTGTGGGTGGCCTAGAAAAGGAAATGGAGAAGGAGCAGGTGGCGCAGAGGTCTGCTTGTCACGGCCAGAATCAGTACCAGGAGGGATGTAATAGCCAGTAGGTGGACTTCGATATTCATCGAGAAACCCTGCAGCATCGCCATATAAGCCAAGTCCTGATGTTGCTGGGCCAAAGTTGAAGGCACTGCCAGGAACCACACTAGTCTGCACTGTCTTGAGTGCAATGGCTGATGGTTCTGAGACATACTGCTGGAATGCTGTTGTAGAGCTAGAAGAGACTGAGGTGTCACTACCACTAGTCACCTGTTGCTGTTGTTTCGTTTTACGCTTACGAGATGGCTTTGGTGTAGGTGTGGTCACAGCAGACACTGATAAAGGCGGGGCCTCCACAAGGGATGACACTTTGGTGGGGACCATGGAGAAGTCTGTCACAACTACAGACCTGCTATAGGTTGGTGCAGCAACATTAATTGCTGTGGCAGGGGGCACTTTGTTGGACAACACAGAAGGAAGGTCTGTCACTGAATGGTTATAATTTGTTTGTCCCTCCACAGGGGGAGTTGACTTGTTTGGTAAGCTGGTGGATATGTCCATGGTTTGGTGACCATAGCTTGAGAGCTCAGACACTGTTCTGTCATATGACGGTGGGCGAGCACTAGTAATGGTTGGAGCCGACTTACCAGGAAGCACAGAAGAAAGTTCGGGCACTGTCCTACTGTACACAGATTGCACATCGGAGACTTTACTGGATAACACTGATGACAGCTCAGGCACAGAGCGGTTATATGAAATTGCAGGAGCAGGCTGTGAAAACATGGCCATAGCTGCAGCTGCTGATGAAATAGGAGGCTGTACTGATCCTTGGCCAAATATGCCACTTTTATCTCCACCTGTTGCATAAAAAGGAGACCCATCACTTGAGAAACGATCCACAATGTGGGAGAGGTTGGTCAAATTGCTTATGGATGAGGGTGCTGCAGGTGAAAAAGGTCCCCTGTGGAAAGTAATATCATTTCCTACACGCGCTGTTGTTGGACTCTTTCGAAGCTGATCTGTAGATGGCTGCTTACTTGACACCTGTCGGGGTGGGTGTGATATATCAATCGGTTGTTGGATATTCAATGCTGTTGATGTCTGATGGTTTCCAATAGGAGATGTGACACACCGATGCAATCTTTCTGATGGCTGTATGACTTCCTCACTGTATAGTCTGTCGATTACGCGTGGGTCCATGGATTGATGGGATTTTTCAGAAGCCTGCAACACAGAATCTGAGTGCTGACCTCCATCTACTTCTGTTATTGCATTGGCCAGTATCATTTCTGAGACAGTCTGCTGCTTTGAAACCGGAAGCAGCCTTTCGCTGGCTTGAGAAACTGATATCTGTGGACTACATATTGGTATGGAGACTGGAGACATGCATACTTGTTCTATCACTGAAGAATGCTGGGCTTGAGGTATGCTTACAGGAGAGGTCTGATCAAATCTCTCACCTGTGTTCGGATTGCTGAGTGTGGAGTTAGCAAGCCTGTTACCTGTTGTGTGCAAGGGGAGGTTTATAGGCTGTGAAACGCCAACTGATGGAGGTGGTGGTGTTGCTGATGCTGTTGTAACAGGACTTGGAGGAGACTGATGCAATCGACTAGAAGTCTGATGGTGATGCTGAAGACCAGTGGCAGATTCAGTGTCACTATACAGGCGCTTCTTAACAGGAAACACAGCAGCAGGAGCTTTTGTGCTGGGACGTGGTACAGTCGAATCATACCCCTGGTGCCGATCAGATGAAAAGGGTAGTGCAGTGCTAGGAACTGTCACTGCTGATGCAGAAGATGGCTTGCTCGTGGAACTAGGGCGTGGAACTGAAATCTCATACCCTTGTTGGTGACTGGTACTGAAAGGCAGAGAGCTGCTGACAACTGAGGGTGCTGACTTGTGAAGAGCACTTGGTCTTGGCACAGTTATGTCATAACTCTGTTGCTGACTGTTAGTATACTGCAGGGTTCCAAGGAGTCCTGAACTAGTAACAGGCACAGATGGTGACCTACGTGCAGAGCTGGGTTGTGGGACAGACAACTGAAATCCAGACTGTCTCTCTGAAGTGTATGGCAGAGGGCTCGTAGAAGGAGACACTGGAGATGAGTAGCCCTGCTGCTGAACACTGGAGTATGAAAGGGATAGACTTCCTGGGATGTACTCCTCTGATGCTTGTGTACGAGCTGCCTGGTACTGATCAGTCAAGGGCTTACTGGTGTCATAGTAATGCATTACAGCACTATATGGGGGGACAGGTAAACCATCATAAGTCTGTGGTGGACCTGGTGTGGGGTTCCGGTATGTTAAATAGCCTGGATTATCATGTTGAGGAGGATAGCGGGGAGAATAGACAGGCTGCTGGAATGGGGAAGGTGACTGTGGGCTGCAGCTGCTGTTGCTTTTCTCTGGGCTGCTCTTCTGGAGGCTAGATGATGTGTCTTGATAGAACCCAACACGTATAGTGCCATTTAGAGGTGGGTATGAGGTAGTGGGCTTTGGAGTATCTTCTGGTCGTGGAGAAGCCATAACAGGAGAAGCAGCCATGGGAGAAGGGTGCAGAGGTGAGGGATAGGGGGCAGGGTAACCATCCAAGGGATCCATTGGGTCCTGACTGAAAGATGACCGTTCAGACATGCTACTACCTGTACTGACTTTTCTTTGCCGCTGTGCTGGTGCCACTGACTGCTGTGTGGGACTTGGTGCATCATCTATTTTCCTGTCTAAATCTTCCTGTGTGGGTGGTCTCACTCCCATGTCACCCACACTTTGTGGCCTGTCCGCTGAACCACTACACAAAGGCACGTCTGCTGGAACTGGACTCGGAACAGTTTCCAATCTTCTTTCCTCTGTGCATGCATCCATATCCTGCTGTGTTGAAACTTCTGGTTTTCGTTGTTTCTGCACAGCAGTTGTTTTTGGGGCTCCAAAAGCCTTAAACCAGACACTGAGGTCAGGTGTAACTTTCTCATGCTTGGAATCTCTGCTCACTGGTTTCTCTTCCTCAGCCACAGTTTTCTCATCTTCCTTCTTGATTTGTGGATTCTGTGAGCCTCCTGGCAGTGACTGGTTTTGCTTTTCAGGTGAGAGTTTGATGTCAATATCTCTTGGAGAAGCTCCAGTTCCTTCTGCACCAGTCAACAACAGAGCTGGCTTTTTGTCTTCTATTTGTGTTCCTTCTGAAGAGTCAAAGTTGTGATTGTTATGTCCAGCTACACCAAAACCTAGCACATCACTTCTGAGAACAGTTCCCAGGCTTAGCTTGGGCGTGGCTTCTTCTTTTTTCACCAATAAAGAGTTCCTATTTTCCTTGGGTTTACTACTCAGCCCTAGCACACCACTACAACCCCCCACTTCATCTACAGTTTTATTTGCACTCTGAATATTCGAGATGAGATTTCCTTTACTTTTCCCTGGCTGAAGGCGCTCAATTGTCCTCTGGACCTCACGACGACGTTGTTGGTGTTGTTTAGAGGAGTCCTTAATAGAACGCCGCTTGTTGGCTATGTCCTGTAAAATATTACACAAGGAAAATAAATGCCTTGTTGTGTACTGTATTGATTACTTCCAGTATCAAAGTTCCTGTCATTCTGCCCAAAAGTGAATATGATATAAAAATAGAAGAAATGTAATGATATAATGGACCAATAATTAACAGAACTTCAGTATAAATAATGGTTTAGATAAAGTACTTTCATCACCAACAAATCTTCCATCCCCCCCCAATAAAAAAATCAGGTGGAAGTATTTCATGCTGTTGTATATTTCAATATAGGGTACATATTTTTGTACATTTAATGGAAAGTAACATAATAAACTGGCTGCCATGGCTCTGAAAAATTTAACAGAAAAACTCCAAATGTTAGCCAGTGAAGAAAAACAAACTGCTGTCTAAGATCACATGGCTTCAACTTCATTATGAATTATGAAGTAAAGCAATTATGAAATTCTCAACAGGCTAGAACTCACATAATGCAGTCTGTTACAAATTTTCAATGAATATGTAACCACATCGGAATGTACATTACAATCCTTACCCTGCCATCTTTGTTGCTGCGTGATGTTCCTGACGAAGGCCGATCTCTGTCCAATTTAAGACTGTGCCGATACTCATTTTCTATACGTGACCTTACCATTTCATACTCTTCAGCACCAATAAGATGTGAAGGTGAGTTGCTTGCAGACGAGAACTCCGAAAAGCGTGGGGTATCATCCAACCATTTATTGATGTCCTGTGATCCAATCATACAGATTTCAATAATGGTTTAATAAAAATTAAAATCTAGATAATGAATATATGTTAAAAGGAGCCTAATGTTATAAATGTATTTATTAAGAAGACAAAATAAAGTGAAAGTCTTGTAAACACTGTTACATTTCCCAATTTTGTCCTCCAAATTTTCATCTGCTTATTGTCAGTATATTTTATACCTTAGCAGTTAATTTATCTTGATGGTTTACAGTATCAGATGGTAGGATGATGGATGAATAATGAATTGGAAAGAATCTGGAAGAAGTGGCCATGCGCTAATGGAAGTAGAATCCTGGAATATGCCTGGGGAACTCGAGGAACATCATGAAAACACCCAGTCAAGTAGCCAGCCCCCTTAACCTAGATTTGAACTGAGCACTTCCTGAATAAAATTACCAGAAATACAGCAGCTGGAGCGAAATGATCATTCACCTCCATCTAGTATCAAGATCTACATTCTATGGACCTTTATTATATGTCCCTATAAGTGTTCAAGTGGTTCATAGCTATTGGGCCAACTCTGATAATTTTACGACTTACTTAACTATCAACTCACAGGCCACCCTTTCTTCCTCCTTCTTCTCCTATTAACATATATTAAAATCCCCACCCCCACCCCATTTTTTTTTTTTACATTAATACAACTTATAGTAACTTTAATGCAAGAAACACTGTTCTGATAGCTTGGAATATCACTAATTATACATATGTCATGACTGTCTTAAAAATACATTAACACTTTCTGGTCCAATATTGGACTCAATCCACCAATTCCAATATCTTTCAATTAAAATGAAAAAGGGCAAATTGAAATTCTCCTTGACAGTTTGTCATATACTCAAATATGTGTACCTCAAACAGTTATTTGTTCAATTTAGTCTCACATACATAAAATCACATTCTTAACCACCGATGGATATTACTGAAACATTCATACAAAATGAAGTGGGCCTGGTCCCATGTCAAATAGGCACATAAACCTCCAAGAATGTATTTTTGCAATTTTGAAAGGGGAAAGTTACCAGCGAATATAATAATATAGCATAATTAAGTATACCTTCAGAGTCTGTTCTGTAGCTAGTTCTAGGGCCTCTATTTCTGCCACATTCTTGATGACCCCAGTTTTCTTCTTGCGTTTTGTACCGTTATGGCTGTGAGGCCTCTTCAGGTCAACAGTATCATCCTTTGTACTGCTTCCTTCAGTGTCCATACTACCTTCCCCCATGTGATCTGTCTTAGCCTCCTGATCCCTTTCCCTTATTACTTCCTCCCTTTCTTCTGCGGTACTGGACTGTACTGTGCATTCGCTCTCCGGACTGGGAATATTCCTGAAATTGGTAAATTACATACATACCTTTAAATAAGTAGATTCTAAAGGGTTCTGACAAAGGTTCATAACACTCAGAATTACTGAAATTTTTTACTGTCCATTGTCCAGTATTCTATAAAACTAGAGAACACATTTTTGAAACTGGATCTGTTTCTGTCCCCAGGTGAGATGGGGAAATACCTGCTGTGTTAGGTCCCTTAAAAAGAGTTAACCTCAATCACTGGACAACCTATGTCAGCATAACTACAGTTATATAATACCTGACAACAAGCTCTAGTTTTTTAGAATAGTGGACAATGGACAAAGTCCAAAAACCCAGTAATTCTGACATTTAAATAAGTTTCATACATCCTTATCAATATCCCTTAACATTTTCCACTGGTACCACACTATAATAAAGTTCAGCGCCCCCACTTACACATGCATAGGCCCCTACATATACATGCATACCAAAGTTAATAATATTCTTCACTTTTTTATGTGTGTTACAGTTTAGAGAAAAACTTAACACTCTGGCAAAATTTTAGATATGAGTAATAAATTATAAGTGTCAAACAAAGTATCAGTTATCTTATACAATATATATTTCCGTCACTAATGCAGCAAAAGGTTTATAGTCACTTTAGTTCTTCATTCATGACAGGTTTTGGCCATACATTGCGAACATCATGTGTCTATCGCTATGCTAAACTGCTGTACACTGTACTGCATGTCACAACTGCATGGGGATAGTTATCGGTACTCCTTAAGTCAAATTAAAATTAAAAATTAAATTAAAATTATTCATTTAAAAATATGTCAACCCTATTAAATTTAATAAAAACAATTAATTCAGACCATTTTATGGGACCTATCAGGCAATCTTTGGTTGCATGGGTGTGTGCATATTTCCCGTAGTTCATCAGTGTTGGTGTGAATGTTGATTTCTCTTACGTATGTCCCTTTGGCTACAGACCCATCACCCAGCTTGTATAGTTATGTTGCTGTTTGCCTAGTGGGTGTGTGTAGCTAGTTAGGGTGTTCAGTGCGTTTTCTCGTGTTTTCATAGTGTAACTGGGGCGTGCGTGCTGCTATCTAGTGTAAAGTTCATGCAGTGTCTCAAATATGGGGTTGTATGTGCTGATATATGTATCATTCATATGCAGATTATCCTTACTGATTCTATATATGTCATATTTTTCTAAGATATTTAAATGTTTGCCTTTCTTTCCTGTTTTTATAATATTCATGGAGTCCACTATGGTTCCATATGTATGTTCCAAGTTTAATATACAGTTCGGTTGAAATATGTCATGAATGAAGAATTAAAGTGACTATGAACTTTTTCTTGCATTAGTGATGGAAATATATATTGTATGAAATAACTGATATATTGGTGTGATACAATGCTTACATGTAATATTAAATATATTAGACAGGCATTTGAATTCAAAAAGTTTCAGAACATTTAAATTCAAACAGTGACACACTGACTCTTACTTTGAGGGAAGAATATACATTACAAGTGCGTGACAACAAAGTGCTGAGTAAGATATCTGAACCTATATGAGACAGAAGAGTGCAACTTAGGACACTGCATTATGAGAAACTTTGTGGATTATATAAGTCACCTAGTGTTGTAGAGACAATGAAATCAAGGAAGCTACAATAGACTGGAGATGTAGCTCAGATGAGACATAAAAAAACAGTTATAGAATTTTCGCAGGGAAACTTGGAAGACTGAGAAGATGGTTGATTAACATGGATCTCTGGGAAAGAGACTGTTAGTACAAATGGTGGATGGGACTGGATTGGGATCATGTCCCATGGCTACCTTGGTTATAGTAGTGTTGAATCTTTAGGCTCCACTACTACAGAATTAATTTTAGTTTTGTAACTCTATTACTTTGTCTTTAATGGCAAGAAAGTAACATTTACCTGTTGATATGCGAAGACTGTCGTGCTTTTTCTTTCTTCCTACGAGCACGATGATGATGCTTATGCCTGTGTCCTTGTGCTTCTATTCGACTCTCAGATGATGTTGTTCCAGTTGGAAACTCAACAGCCACTTCTTCATCTGATGATGGATCTGACTCTAGATAGCGTTCAACAGCCATCTGAAAGGCTTCCTGGAGATTTCCCACCATCTCTGTATATTCTATCAAGAAAGTCATAATTTATAATCCCTACTTCACAACACAATAAGATAACTGAAACTCTATGTAAGGTGTGGCTATTAAATAATGAGATTGATATCATAAATATATTTTGTATAAAGTTCGTGAGGTTAACAAGTTATATCCTTCAAAGTATTTCCCCTGGGCATCTACAAAGCAATGCCATTTCACCAGGCATCTTTTTTTTTCCTGGCTGTCCTTGATGGATTGCAAATATATTCCTTTCAGAGAACATTTTAATTTAGGAAAGAAGAAAAAGTCACCCAGAGCAAGACACTGTTAAGCAGCTGTGAAAAAGTATACTATTTTTTTTTTGGACAGAAACTTAACATTGTGAGCTGGAGTGTTGTCCTGATGAGAATACTGAATCGGGGCCTATATAGATAAATTGATGATTTCTTAACATCTGAAGGACACCATAACTTAAAATGTTATGACTGAATTCATTATTAGTAATGTAACTTTTATGCCATTTTGTGTATCTGCAAAGTATGTTCAGTCAGTCTGATATATAACAATTCTTCTCACTATTTTACTGCTCCAAGGTCATTTCTAAATAACCTTCTCCATCTATGCTGTGAGTAAATATAATTGCTCACCTCTGGCATACACCACTGTCTTTCACATTTACCTAAAAGAATATGTAACAGTTTATTTCTGACATAGAAGACAAAAATGTGTTCATACATAATGAAAAAATATATGAGACATGTAGCCAGAAGATACATTTTGTTATATCAGATGAAGCAAGAAAGGCAATGAAATAAGTAAGCAAAGCAGTACAATTAGGGGGACAAAGTTGCTCTCATCCGTCACATTCTCTAAGTCATATGTGTCCCCTGGGTAGGGCAAAACGAGCAACAAACCTGGCAAAGCTTCCCAAGAGAAAAGTGCAAACTTCTTCAAGATGCAGCAAAGCAAGAGCTTGAGTGCTCTCTGGTGGGAAGCAAGAAGCAAAATGGGTTAAATGGTCCCAAATGCAGCCATTGGAAACCAACCAACCAACCAGCAGTATGATTATACACCAAAACAGGTATGTGAACAATATACTCACACATATGATGATGATGAAGCAAATTCCTCCCCAAGTAACTTTAGAATGGCATTTTTAGGCAGTAGGACTTCATGTAATATTTAAAGCCCCTAATATGGTGTGTATGTATGTATGTATGTGTGTATATATATATATATACTGTCCTTGTAACAGGCCGTGAAGGCCCATAGGGGTGTAAGAGGGCGAGGTTCCCACAACTGGTTCACAGTTGGCAGTAAGGCCCCCCAAATAATCTTCCTGGTACTCATTTCTGTTAGAGGTTGAGTCAACCCCAGGATCATATCGTGGCTGGAAGGATTAGGTAAACTGAAAAAATTCAATGACCTCATCAGGACTCGAACCTGCGACCTTCCATCTTGCAGCATAGTGCCTCAATCCAATACACTACCGCATGCCCCATAAGTAAAGTAAAGCTATCCCTGTACCAGGCCATGAAGCCCCAGAGGATTGTGAGACATTGAGGGTCCCACACTATCTAGACAATCGGCTCAAAGATGGGGCTAAGGTTGTCAGCCTTACGTGCTGGCCATGCTTTACTCCCCAGGAAAATTATTTAATTAACTCCTGGTACTCATTTCTGTTAGAGGCTGATTAAACCCAAGGGCCTAGTGCGGCTGGAAGGATTAGGTCAACTGAAAAAAACCAATGACCTCATTGGGACTTGAACCCGCGACCTTCCAGATTGTAGCATAGCCCCTCAACCAACCACGCTACCGCGTGCCCCAACCACATGCCCTTTATATATATTAATGTAATGCAACAATATTTTCATTTATATCAGCATAAGTAAAAACATATATTATTAAAATAATAATTAGAATGATCAAGCCAAGGAGAATGAGATGGGCACGGCATGTAGCACACACTGGGGCAAAGAGGAATGAATATACGATAATGGTGGGAAAGCCAGAAGGAAAGAGACCACTAGGAAGACCAAGACGTAGATGGGTGGAGAATATTAAAAAGAATCTTAGAGATATAGGATGGGAGGGTATGGATTGGATTGATCTAGCTGAATACAGGGACCAGTGGAGGGCTTTTGTGAACATGGTAACGAACCTTCGGGTTCTATAAAATGCTGGGAAGTTCTTGAGTAGCTGTGCACTTGGCGGTTTCTCAAGAAGAGCTCAGCTCCATGGAATTAATTCAGTTAGTTACATTTTTCCTTAACAAAGAACATTATACAGATCCCCTTTAAACAGAAATAATTATGTGCACACTAAGTTTACCATTGTCAATGCCATTGTACTGGCGACAGTTGTCCACAATGAGCTGAAAGTCAGCCTTGAAGTCAGCAAATGTGAGATACTCTCCCTCATCCAGTTTATCTTCCATACGTTGAAGATCCATGGGCTGCCGGATAATTGAGTAGTACCTTGGGGCATAGTCTTCATCTACAGGATCTGCAAATGGCCATGCATCATCATGGTTCTTGATGTATTCCAGGATTTTGTACATTCCAGTCTGCAGATCCTCCTCTGTCTGCTTGAATCTGAAATAAACGACCTGTTTGTAATCACGTCTTCTTCAGTATTAATGAAACTTTAAAATACAATAGCCATACACTCCTACAGTGTGTAAACAGTCAAGTGAATCATCACTGTAGAGTACTTGTTTAAACATGTTGTGTATATTACAGCAACAAGCAAGTTGAATCAATCAACAGTGCTTCTCACTTGTATTTTAGATACGTCCACTTTAAATCCTGGTCAGGACACTGATTATTGTGACTGAGGCTTTTCACTGTTTCTCAGTCCCTTCAGGCAAAGGACAGGATATTACTTTAAATCAGGCCACAACCACTTCTTTCACATCCTTTACAATTCATTATTCACTATCCTACAGTCATTCGATGCTATGTAGGCCAAGTTACTGATGACATTGTTAAATAAACTACAAATAAGAATATATTATAGCATTACATCTGTTTCTATAAATGGCCAAAATACTATCGCAGTTGACCATGTTGTACAAAGTATACAGTGTTTAATTAAACACTGTGACATTTCTAGTGACATTCACAATCTTTTAGAGGATGACACAGCAACAGAATAAAAACATATACAATTGAAATAATATAATGTTCAATTTTAATACTTATATAACCAATTAAAAATACAAAACCTAACCAAGAGTTCATGATATCAACTTTGTTCAGCTGTGGAGCCCACAAAGAATATGATGAACACTAACATATACTATAATGTGACATGACACCTGAAAGCCGGAATAGTGGAACCAAAGCCAGATGTCTGTTGATGAGCATAAGTTTCCGTTACAACAGATAGCACAAATGAATCGTTACCATGTAACAAGTTGCTAAACACATTACTGTGGCAATGAACCTGCAGATTACAACAGATGAACAGTTTAAGTGGGTGTTCTGTTCACAGTCTGCACCAGGTCATGAAAGGACATGTAATTGAGTCGCAGACGTGACGTGTACTGAGTAGTAGAAGACTGAAGTCTAGAGACCAGTCCAAGATTCAGACAGCAGTGATAGATTTCTTATCCAGAAGGAGTTTAATGTGTGAGCTGCTGTAATCAAGTGTAACTGTCTGTGGTTTATGCTAACCGTCTTACAGTGTATACACTTTTTCACCTTATTCTTCACTTCCACACTACATGTTTCAGCACTAATGTGCCATCCTCAGGTGTCTTTATGCATGTTAAACTATTGTACTGCATGCCATGATGTCTTCATTCTAAAATGACTAAAACTTTTCAGGATTCCTCCTACGTTGCACTCAAACACGCGAATTACATTCTTCCTACATACATTTGTGTATCGTGTTCTGTGTTGTGTTTTGCTCCTGTTACTGCATGCGTTATACTGCTGGATATGTTTTGTTCTTCTCTATACACTACATGTTTCGGCCCCAAACGGCCATCATCAGGTGTATACACTCACGTATCTGTTACACTGCACTTATTTATAACATTTAAAATTTAAAAACATAGGTCTTCCTGATTAACACTTATAAAATCTTTGGTTCTAATTTGAAATCCTTTAAATTTTTTTTCTCTATATTTTAAAATTTAAAAATGTCAGGGTTACTCGCCCTATGTTTATAGTGCTGCAGCGGCTTCTTCTTGTTTCTAGTACTGTATAGGTGTTATTCTGTGTAGTCTTCTTGTGTGCGTGCTGCTGCTTATCTTTACTTTACTGAAAGTTCAATACTTCACATCTGCTACATTCTGGGCAAAATCTATTTCAGTTTCCAAATTGCTTAGTGTTTGTTTCAGACTGAGCAATGTTGTCACCACAAAGAGGAATTGATGTAATATCTTCTGCAGTGCATGAAACCTGTCTTCTACTGACCCCAATAAGATAATTCCCAAATTCAAGCCAAATAATGAAGATTTATGTATGTTCAACTCACTTTGCTCCAGTTCATGTGAAATGACATTATTTTACAAGCTTATATAAACAAAGTATAATTGGCTTACGCATTGTAAACAACTCTGAAACAACAAACTGCAAACAATGGATTACAACTGAAACATAAACACAGGCCAAAAAGTAGTAATTTTACATGAAGCACATTCTCATTAATGATCTCATAAGAAAACATAAACAATCAGGATGCTTCAATGGAGTTCTTAAAATCAGTGTATTCTGGCTCACCTCTAAATTTAAAAATCTTAAGCAAGAACTGTCACTAATCCCTACCCTGAAGCAATATATCATGCGTGTAATAATGACATCATCAGATTTTAATTTCACAGTGTTGTGCTTCAGTTTCCATTTTGATTTGCTTCAATCACGCAGTTTACTGTGACTCCAGCACCACAGACTATTTTGCACACTAATGTGACTCCAACTTTACACCTTCCTGGGACTAATAACACAGACTGTCTCATTTTTATACCTTACTGTGACTCCGTTACAAGAAACTGTCTCAATTTTACACCCTACTGTGACTCCAACACCACAGACTTCATGTACACTGCTGTATACAGAAATCATGGTGGGAGCTGAATAAAAAATCAATCCCCAATGAAGTGAAAGAAAACCTATCCAACTGCTTACATGTGATACGACTGTGACATGCAGAGAAAAGAGACATAAAGCTCCGTACACATTCCAATCTTCAAACTATATACAGATGAATGGCCACTTGCTCATTCTGGTTGTCTTTGCTTCCAAAGTGAAGCATTCTTGGTACTCACTGGGCAATAACCTCTACCTGAAAGATCTAAAATTATGATTTTAAAAGGTAAAGTGTCACAGTAGTTAATTAAGTACCAAGTTATCAAGGCATATGAAGGAGTGGGGATACAGGTCCAATAGATGGAGATGGTCAGCTTCATGCCCCATACTGTTTTACCTCAGGTAAAGAGCCTCCAGTACCCACTGGATAGAATGCTAGGGGGGCACAATGGAGAAGAGGAAAATCTCAACTCCTGCTGGGAATTGAATCCCATTTATCCAGCCTGTAGCTTAGTCACTATACCACATTAGAGGCTTCAGCTCAAAATTATGATGTATCTGTGATATGATATGTTAATCTATGGGCTTAGATTTGAACCAAATACAAAACAGAAGTTCTAACTCTTGGACCATGATGTTTGGATCACTGAAACGATTTTCATAGGGTGTGTCTCTTCCATAAAATGCGGAATTGATGTGTTACAAGGGTCTAGAAGTATGAGAAGTTGAAACCCAATGCTCTAATCAGTATCCATCCAAAACTACCTGACTTCTTTGGCAGAAAAAAAGTTAAGTTTTTTTTTCAGAATTTAATCCTGATGTATTCTGATATTCCTGGAGAGTATTTGCTGAACACTTTACTTACAATACCTCCACCCTCCATTTTTAATTTCATAATCATTTACCATACAAGATATAAAATAAAACATTACACTAATATACACAAGACTGAATTTTCTCTTACTGGCATAGTTGACTTTTTCAACAACATAAACAGATATGGTGATAAGTAGGAACTGAATTTTAATGCAAATGCGTATTTCTTTCTTGCAAGCAAAAAGTTTGTTCATTTGGATATATGTATGAATTATCATTTCTTATCAAAGTATCCGTCAATAATGCAACAATTTAAAAGACATTAGGAATATGTTTCACACTAAAAATGTATTTAAACACTTTTTGATGTTGTTAAAATCATTCCATGTCAATAGGACATTAAAAGCACATTCTATACATTAAAAGTGATTATCCAATTTTCTAAAATGTCTTTAGTCATATATTTGTTCTAATGTTCAACATGTTTTGGCCACATGGGCCATCATCAGGTATCTTCCCTTCTTTTGAGGAGACCAGCACACTGTACACTTGTTCACCATGTGTACCTAAGCACACAGGTAGACTGCACTAGTGATGCATCTGACACACAAAAACTAACACAGCCACAATAGAGTGCAATGACAGCATTCTGATCGTGATATAGTGCTAAATATTTGACGTGCATGGGGGTCATTCATATTAGTGGTGACTAGTCTGTGGTTAAGTTTGTTAAGTTTTTGTAGTCATGCCGAAAGTGAAAGTAAGTAAAAAAACTAAATTACAACTGCATCAGTTGGAATTTGAAGGAGAGATGGTAACTATGGATAACAACATTCTTCATTGTGGAGCATGTGAAGAAACAGTTGTGAAAAACGCTCTCAAGTGCTTTATCATTTGAACACTAATATACACAAAGAGAATATACGAAAAGTGCTCCTGCTCAAAAGTAGCTTAGTGAATTATCTAATAACAGTTTTTCACAGTTCCCCTTTGATTTGTGTGAAACCTTTTTAGCAGTAGATACGTGTATTCCACTGTGGAAACTAAGCAGTCCTGCTCTGAGAAACTTCACAGAGAAGTATCAACAGAGGAAAGTGCTGGATGAATATAATGTGCATAAAAATTACGTAAAGCAGTGTTCTGATTTTAAAACTGAAAACATTAGAGATAAGATTCAAGATAATTTTGTGTGGGTATCAATCGATGAAACACAAGGCTGTGAGGGATGGTTTATTGCAAATATTATAGTTGGATCCCTTAATAAGAATGAACAATCTATCCCATATCTTCTTGCAGTAGGGCAATTTGAAACCACAAATAGCTCTATNCCATATCTTCTTGCAGTAGAGCAATTTGAAACCACAAATAGCTCCGTAGTTTCCAAATTTTTATCGATTCCATGAATTTGCTATGGCCGAATGTCATTCAGTATGAGCATGTATTGCTCTTTGTGACTGATGCCACAAGTAATATGATCAAAGCCAGTACTGCTCTTAAAGTTATATTTCCAAATATGAGACATTTGACTTGCCTTGCCCATGGGTTGCACTGAGTTTCATACACAATTCATGCAAATTTTTCACTTGTTGACAAGTTGGCGTCTTCTGTGAAGAAGGTATTTGTTAAAGCACCATATAGAAAAGAAGCAGTATCATCAAATGTTCCACTTCCACCAGAACCAATTTTAATGTTCTGGGGCACGTGGCTATGTAAAGTGAGTTATTATACTGAACATTCAGAAA